TTATGAATTTCTTTCATTAAAACTTGAAGGTTCAATCATACAGTTACAATTTAAGACCAAAGCACTATAAGCAGGACATGTTTATCTCAGGAATTAATTTTCAATAGAAGAACTGGGAAAGTAATAGTTGTTGCTGCTGATCTTCTGCAAATCATGTAGACAAATGAGTAGATCCCAGTAAACCTTCTCCCTAACCCTGCTGTATGACACTGAGGACCAGTTCACAGGTGGTACATACTGTGATTTGAAATGGGGGGGACTAGGATTTATTTATTTATTTATTTAGAGTATTTGTATGCCGTCCCATTGCATAGCCTCGGGACGGCTTACATAAAATAAAACATAATACAAATAAAATCCAGATCTACCCTGGCTGCAGATTAAAACCTATAAGTTGATGTTAAAAGTTATTAAAATATTGTTGAAATAAAAAGGTCGTAGGCTGGCGCCGAAAAACAAATAACGACGGCGCCAAGCAGACCTCTCTGGGGAGCGCATTCCACAGGCGGGGTGCCACCGCAGAGAATGGTTTGTTATGTCTTCTGAACCTGGTGGCAAGGCTTTTCTGAGTACTTAACAACTCTCAGATAACTCTATGACAGAACATGGGTTGGTTAAGCACTGAATGTTAAGCAACAACCCCATCATGGCTTAAATAATGGCTGTAGTAATCATGCAGTCTTAGTCACAGTAGGAAGGTTTACATGATGTGTTAAACTCATGGAATAAACCTGTGGTTACTGCAGGTCCTTGATGGATGTTGAAAAAACACTGGAATATACACAAATTTAGGGCTGTGCCATTACTGCAGGTGTGCAAATTTCTCTTCCATTTACTTCCCAGCTATTAAATTTAAAGATGTTTCCCAGTGCAAATATTCTCCAAAGCTTTTTAAAAACCAATTATGGAGCTGGCAGACCAGGATGGAACAAATGGTGGACTGATGCCAAGCAGTACTTACACCTCCCCCCACTCCCCATTCACTCCTCCATATTCAGCAACCTTTTCAGGGTTTTGTTTTTTATACTGTTAGGAACCTACAGTAACTGCAGCAGTAAATGCTTTGAAAACGAGCCACAAAAAGGCAGTTGGAGCCAGTATCTTTCCTTTCTGAAAAAGCTGGAGTCAGGGAAGTGCTGAAGAGGTGAATGACACTGAGAACTGTCAGTTCAACACTTCAGAGCAATAGGATCCCACTGCCAGGGGGAAGATATTGCCCCTCCTTTTGGTGAACCTTATTTTGCTGCTCCCTGACCCCTATTTAATGCTTTTCAATTAGTAGATCAGCAGTTAGGCCACTGTGCACATATATGTAGTCTCACCACGTCAGTTTCCATTTATGTTATCTGTTCTACTTCTTTGGTCTCTTCCATAGATGAAACCTACAAGGAATTTAACTCAGCAAGGCTACACATATTGGACAGCTGTAAGAATATGCTTATGAAGGATTGACAACAACAACAAATGTTTAAAAAGTGCTGTTAGGATGCCTTGATGCTGAAAGTTATTTACAGTGGGGTATCATGTTGTACAAAGCAGGGCAGACTTTGTCCTAGAATGTATTTCGTGGTAGCGAGGGGGAAAGGAACAGTTTAAAATTATTTAAGGAAAAGGGTTGTAGCATTTTTGTGTCTGTTTAAACATGATTATAGATCCTTCATAAAACATCTCAAGGTGCTATAGAAAGAACAACTTATAAACAAATAAACAACCTAGTACACTGAATATTAAAATAATAAAACAAACCATCTGAAATATACAGCCACAATCTAAAATTAAATGGATGGAAAAACTGGTTCACAACTTAGAACTTGGTTTTACTTTTCCTCATGTATCTTATTGGTTTTTCTTTTTCTAACTCATCAGCTGGAAAAAAACAGCAGCTGGAAACTGGGGGTCATCTTCAACCAGATGCAAGAAATCTGTGATCTTCTTGGGTTTGGCCCTGAAAGACCGCAAGGATTGTCTGATAAGCATCTCTATGCTGGAAATGCTTATGCAGCACAATTTGGCTTGGCTTAAAGGCAGAAGTAATTCCTCTTAGAGCATAGTGCCAGCTGTTGTGTAGCCAGGCATACTTTTGGGACAGAAATTCTTGCCTCCACCAGATGAAAATCTGTCTTGGATGTGTTTCAGGGAGTTTGGTGGCTGTGAATGAATATTGTTAGTTTTCCATTTTCTCACTAGCATTTTCCCAGTTAAGCTGCTGCATAAAATGGCTCCACTGCATGTTTGGCTTCTTGGGAAAAGGAAAGCTTTTTTGTTTTAAAACAATATTGACTTCAAATAATGTCTACATGTCCAGCTTTTTTAAAAGGATTGTTCTTTATCTACAGCATTCCATTCTTATGTAATAATTTGTGCTATGCTGTGACACTGGAATTCACAAGGCAGTTGAACCAAGCACCTAAAACAACATAAATTCCAAAGATCAGTATGTTGACTTAGTGTGGGAGTAACTTGGAGCAGTGGGTGAGAGGCAAGTTCCTTTGGAAGATAAAAGTATTTATTGGGTTCTTTCCAAAGTTAGGCTTACTTAGAGTAGACCTTTTGAAATCAATGGGGCTTAAGTTAGACTAACATTGGATACAAGCCAAGGTGTGGTAGTTGAGGTTTGTTTATATTAGTGATTTTGTCCTTGTTCTGTTGCATTAATTTCAATTCCTTCTACTGTTTTTCCTCTCTACTCCTATTACTTTGATGTATTGCATCAACAGGCTATAACTGATGATCCTTAACATGCTGTGGTTGTTTCTCACCCAGAATGGACTGCATGTCACAACATGTCTTTTCAGTTGGTTGTTAAGTTAAATGTCTTATATGAACCTGAGCTGGCTGGTAGGCTCTCATCTTTTTTAAAGTGGCAGCCTTTATGTATTTCCTTTGGTTTTATTAAATATTTATTATACAGTAAGAATGTCCTTGGTGTTAGAAAATTGGGGAAACTATCCAGTACTGAAGAAATCTTGGAAAAGGTGGCTAAGTTCTACCAGCCTTCCTGGTGCCATAATGAGCTCTGCTAATAGAAAACCCAGGAACTCTTCTTACCAGCATTTCCTTTGTTTCCTCTCCCTAACTTCTCACAATACAACTTTGCCATCAAGATTTATTTAAAATGCAGGCAAGGGATGGGGGAAGATAATTAGGAAATATATTGCTCTTTTACATTGGTTTATTCTAGTACAACCTTGTCAACTAATAGGGCCAGTTTTAAATAACTAGTCCTCATGAAACAATTTCCAAAGGGCTAGCCATCTTAATCTGTTGCAGCAGAAACAACAGAGTTGTATGGCCCCTCAGGCACATTTATTATGGCAAGAGCTTTTGTGGATACTTCAAGCACCACTTGATCAGATGTTTGACATATTAAAACTTGAGCTGGCAGATTCCTGTACACGTGCTTGGGTTGGGGATTGTAAACTGGCAAGTCAGAGGGAGCAGTAATATAAAGAGCATAGACAATTATAACTGCCTTGACAGTTGTGCTTTGCAAAAGTTGGATGATTCCCCACCAATGAGTAGATTCACACTTGTGATATGCTTAAAGCAACAACAAAAGGTTTCCATGTTCGAACCAAGGGAATAGAAGAGAATCTTTTCAAGAAGTATACTGCAGCAATTTCACACTGATATATGTCACTGGAATTGTTACTCAAGATCTGTCACCTTAAGATTTTTTTGGGGAGTAGCAGGGTCAACCTTCAAGATATTGATAGAGTGTCCCAGGAAGAGAAATGTCCCCCTGGCTGGTTTGTAAACAAGTGATTCCTGATTTCAGAGTTGTGTTTGTTTATTCTTTTGCACTGGAACTTCAGCAGAATGCAGTAAGGTATTGCTGACAAATGATGGCCTATGTCACCCTGGAATATGAACAGGTGTATGAAGCCCTAATGTTTTAGGTAGCACTATAGTGTTACCATCTGTGTCTGCTGTAGGCTCTGGTCCCTGTGATCATTTCTCTGCTGCATGTCTGTTGCTGGTGAGCAACTTGTTTAAGTTGAGCCGCTGTCTGTAAGCAGTTACAGGCCTACCACCCAAGGTCTGCTGACCATCCTGTATAATGATATTTTTCTCACACAGGAAAGCTGCATGGAATTTTCAGGCCCATGCCTAAGCATTAGCACAACTCACAGGAACATAGGAAGCTGCCTTACACTGAGCGATGGCCACCAATTTGGACAGCTTTAAAAGAGGATGGGACAAATTAATGAAAGATAAGGCTATCGGTGGCTAGTAGTCTTGGCCGCAGTGTGAACAGAATGCTGGGCTAGATGGATGCTTGATCTCATCCAGCTTGGCTCTTCACATCCTTACGACTTCCGAAGAACTAGATCTAAATATAAGCAGAAATGTTCTAAAATGTCCAATTTTACCACATGAAATGGAGAATGAAATTGTAGTGGATGGAAGTTTATTTCTTGAAAGATAGCATCTCCTTTAAAAAAGAAGAAAAAGAGAGAGAGGGAGAGTCTCTTTTTACTCCAAAGAGAGAACACAAACTTTATGGATTATAGGCTGTTCAAATCTCTCATTCTGGGGTGCAGAATCTTTTTCAGGCCAAGGGCTGAATTCCATTTCAAAGAAGATTTTGGTGTCTACATTCCAGCGATGGGTAAGGCCGAAAGCAAAGTGGGTAGGTCCCAAATACCAAATTACCTTAAAGCAACCAAGCAACCAAGTCTTGGGCATTCCAGCCTTTTAGGATATTTGTAGAGGTGCCTGGGAGGGTGAAAAACCAGAAAATCACTGAATGATTGGTTGGAGGTAGGGTCAGAGTAAGGGCAAGGGGTCATCTGCAAACACCCAGAGGACTGGATTTGGCCCAGGAGCTTCTGCACCTCTTCAGGACCCTCATAATAAACCCTCACAGTTGACTGACTTGGTAAAAAGGTATGGTTTTTCAATAAAATAGAAGCGAGAAAAGCCCAATTAGGACCAATAATCAAATACACAAATGCTGATAAATTTGACCCTCATTTCTTCTGGTTTGCTTCTCTTAGGTTGAGTTCTGTATACTATGGGATGGGTGAGGAAGAGAACAAATATGTGTCCCAGCTCAAGGATGTGTATGACAGCTGTGATACCACAGGTTCCGGGTATTTAGACAAGGAGGAGCTGACAGAGCTATGTCACAAGCTGCATCTGGAAAGACAGCTACCCTTACTTCTGGAAACACTCCTGGGGAATAATCACTTTGCTAGGGTAAGTAGCTCCAAGACTTTGCACCTGAATATTGTGAAGGCACACTTCTCTGATAACTTCAAAGTGGCAGTCTCTTCTCCCACTTTCAGGGTTTGTTTTCATCCATTCACAAAATTCTTGACTGGCCTGGCTTCCTCTGGTTTTTTGAGCCCCATCACTGACTTCAAAATGCAGACATGCTTTCCCCCAAATGTGCAAGCTAACTTCATTGATGCTACCCCATTGCTTTGTAAGAAGACCAATAACCATCCCACTTCCATGATTGTGTCTGGCCTACTCATTCTGTTTTGGGCACTGTTCGTCACATGTCTCCCCATATTTCTGCTATGGTCAATGTCCTTTAGGATCTCTGGGATTTGAATATGGGTTCTGAGTCCTACTCAACTCCACATCTCCCTTGCCTTTTGTTCAGACTGTTTTTCAACTACTACTGTTCTCAGCACCAGAAACAATGCACTAAGGCAAATGTGGGCGGGGGAGATGGTGTGGGACTAGCTAGGAGTAGATGCCTCTAATCGCCTCTACTTGGATGAGAAGCGCGGAAAGGGCGTGTTTGAGATTTGGCATACTTATTCTTGATCCTTTAACATGGTTTGGAAGACTGAATGCAGTCAATATGTTCAGTTTTTTCCATAACTATGTCCTTGTCTTTTAGTGATGAAATCAAGCCTTACTCTTTTGTGTTTTGCTGGTTTTCTAGAATGTAGACTAATATCAGGGAATTCACAGACATCCTTATAGTTTTTCAGCAGAGAGTTATAAATTACTTTTTTCCTCCACCCCCTTTTCCTTTTCTCAACTGAGACCTGACTAATGGAACTTGCTAGAAACTGAAAGCATGTTCTGTTTGATGGAACAAAAGTTACTCTCTCATACTGACTAAACCAATTGTTCCCATCCTTATATATCATCTAGAGACTGCTGTAAACAAAGGTTAGCTTATCTCTGTCTGATATTCCCTATAGAGATTTCTAGAGTACCAAGAAATAATCATTTTCTTGCTGTGAAGAATAAACAAAATGCCAATACCTCTTTCTCAAAAGGGAAGCTCTTTTCTCAGAACACACTTAACAGAATGAAACCTGTATGAAAATGTTTTATATTCTGGGTAGTAAAGGTGAACTTTCAAATGATCCTAAGACCTATGGAATTTTCCATAAGTTGTATACGAACATGGGTTAGGGTTAGATGAATATCCAATTGATTTTCAAGAGCTGAATAAAAATTAACCTTATTAGATGCCATTAAACTAATGTAAAGTTCTCTTAGGCTCAGCTTTATATCTTCTTTGCTACTTCCTTATGTCTTGGGTTTCATGCAGGACCAGCAATATTTGAGGTACCCCACATATTACAGAGTACCCCTTGCTGAAGCTGGTATGTGAGTTCTATGAAGACCCATGTAATCCTGTAATTCAAATACTAATTAGGAGAATGGTAGAGGCCAATGTCTCTCCAAGTTGAAGAGCCAGAGAAATCTATATCGTGCAAATTGTGATATTCATTAAAAGTACATATATATTCTCTCCTTTGGCTCCAGTTAACTAACAAAATAGTTCATACATGGATACATTTTGGGATGAACAAATGAAAGTAAGATTCTATTAGGGATTTGATATTGCCGCTTTTTCTACCAGTCCACTTTATCTTCCCCAATGAATGAGACAGAAGAAAAAGCAGAATTGAGCTTTTGTCCTGCTGTAGAACTAACTTAACATGACTTTCTGCTTGTCTTCTGCTAGGTTAACTTTGAGGAGTTTAAAGAAGGCTTTGTGACCATATTGTCCTCAAGCATCAATCTTGGTCTTTCAGATGATGAGAGCAGCTATTTGGAGCCAGGTAGGTAAAGAGTGAGATAGTAAGGTTGGCACCAGACAGACCTTAATGAGGAGTTTGTTCCATATATGTCTCTCCCCACCTTTTGCACACCATAAGGAGAGAGGATCAGCGTTGGAAAAACTGTTTCCTCAGATGAGAAGAAAATTAGCTCAAAGATTCCTAATTTTTAATTAAATGTTCATTGATATATGGAACAATACAAATTGTCTGCAGTAGCATCTTAGATATTACATTGTTTGTTAGCTGCCCTTTTAAAAAGCTTTACTTGGACTGAGAAAGAAAAATGGGAAACAGGAAAAGGAAATTACATGAACCAGGTCAGCTACCGTTTCTGTCTCATAGTTGTTCCAGATGAAGTCAAGCCGAAATACATCAGTGGGGCAAAGTGGTACGGTCGCCGAACTAGACCAGAACTCCAGGGCACTAAGTTGGAAACCTCCAAGTACTTACAGGAGCAGCAAGCGAAGGTAAATGTGAAAAGTCAGTTGAGGCGCTCAGCATCTTTGGAGAGTGTGGAGGTAAGTTCAAGTATTTTTCTTTCAACTATTTTGAAACAGGCTGATTGGATTTAATTGAGTTCCTTGACATCTGTTAAATGTTATATTTATGGTGGCTTGGACTTGATTAAGAGAAGTAGCCTATTAAATCTCACAGGTTTCTTTAATAGTTCTGTTCTGGATGAGCACAAAGTTTGCAATTGTTGCCTTAATGAATATTCATTAGCTATCTGGGCAGTTTACAACAACAATCATAGACTCGTGCATTCAAGTCACCCATCCAGATTGTAACCAATTCTAGATTAACCACTTCTACATAAAATAATTATGATAGTAGCATGTTTTGTGCATGAGGTATTTTGCAATTTATAAATTACTACTATTATTAATACATTGCATTTGTATATTTAGATGAGGACTCACATGACTGCTGTTCCATGCAAAATAAATTTCCCTGCTAAAAAAGCTAGCATGTCAGGGAAAAGGGTGTTTGTCTCGCCTTGTCTCTGAGGTGCTAGTTTTCTGCCCTTCGTTTGGACATTCTATATGTTTGGAGGAACAAGCAGTCCTGGAAATCTCCACCTTGCAGCTCAAAGTGGCACAGTTCAGGGGCAGGATGCTGCTTCAGTGCTGTTGTGATAGATGTGGCAAGAGCTGATTTGTGTTTTAAACTGAAATCTGACGTAAATTGTGTGACTGGAGGGTGAATGCTTGCCTGACTTTATGACTGTCAAAACGATGCAAGGGTAGCCAGGCATACAAATCTTCTCTCCCCCTCACCCCTGCTTAGCACCCATTGTTTGTGTGAGCTTGGCTGCAGGAAGAAAGTATTTGGGGAGAGGAACTTCAGGAAGGCGAATGGCTAGCAGGACAGGGGCTTTGTCCTTCTCGCTTCCACATGTTTCTAGTAAAATTTCCCATCGACTTTGTGCTTTGGAGCGAATTCACATTGAAACACACAGATCTACCTCTATCAAGCCCAGCCTGAACTTTCAGAACCCGGTTTTTATTAAAAGGAAAATGTCTGAATTTTTTCTCTGCCTTGCTCCACATGACACACAATCTTGGTTGTGTGGAACAGGTTACTGCTTGTTCTTGCAGTCCTGGGTAGTACAAGTGAATTTTCTTCTGGTTTCCAGAATGGCTGTACATTTCTTCTTTCCAAAACTCTTTACCGAGGGCATGCTTAGATTCCTGTTCTTTTCTGCTTTCTCCTTTAATGGAATGAGTCAAAATGAGATACATAGTTGAGATTCCTTGTCCTAGTGTGGTTTTTCTTGACATGATAACACAGTGACTGCTTTTAAACTTTTCAAGATTGCAACATGTTGTACAAAAGCAAATCTTCCAAAAGTGGGATGAACCAAGCAGAGGTATATTGTGACCATAATGGTTGTGAGCCGTCCAGAGACTCAAGAGTGATTGAAAGGCCTAGAAATATCCCAAATAAATAGGGTACTGCTAAATCAAAAGTCATATTGGTATGTATGCCTTTACATTAAAAAAAAGATTAGGCGAATCTGCCCTTAAGCTTTCTTTGGAACACGTTGGGCCTATGCACATATGCATTTGAAGGCTTAAAGTTTTCAAGACAGATGATTAGTTCATTGTTTCAAAACTTGCTAGGAAATGAATTTTCTGCAGCGCATATGCAGTACTACTGTGGAACCATGGTATTAGACGTATTTTGTTATATTGCTTCCTCCCCAAAACAAACAAAACCTTCACAAAGATGTCTCTTTTCTTAAATCTTTCCATAGTCATATACTAGACCAATAGCTAAGTTTCCCTATTCCATAGTCTGTGGCCCATGAATTCTGCCAACTTACAGGATTTTTCATGGATGGCCAATGAGTATTTCCTTTCACTTTACAGAAGTAACCTATCATTTGGGTTGGCTTCTAAGTTCTATTCTACAAATGGAAGAGCTTGTTTTGTCCCTGAAAGACACTCTGATCCAGCAGAGGTTTTCACTAGAGAGAGAGAAAGAAGGGAGGAGATCTTAAGCAGTTTCCCTCTTCCCTGCAGCCCCCATGCCACCTCTCACCCTATTTCAGAGGATGCCCTAAATGCTGAAGCAAATTTTTGGGAGTGTAAGGGACTGCAGGAGGAGGAGAAATTCAAAGAGATTGTCTTGCCTCCTGGTGGGAAGCATGACTGGAGCTCCCCTATGGGGATACTTCTACCGATGAAGAATTAGCTAAGATCCAAGCAATGAGCAGGGTTTGCATGACTGGTTGTGGGTCATTTAAGCTATGAAAATCTGCAGTGCTCAGGGGTACTGTCCTGAACATTCAACCCCCAACTGAATTTTATCAAGTCACATGAACCTTAGTCTGTTCCTTAACCCTTCCATAAACCCTCTTGATTGGGTTCGTATGATGCAATGTTTCACAGTCAAGGGGCTGAATATTCAGGATGGTACTCGTGGGTGTTATGACTTGCCATGGCTTAAATCACAGCAAGCTGAAGAGCGCGAACAGCCCCATTGTCTGATTAAAGAAGAATTCAGCTTCGTGTTTTAGTCTGTGTTTATAATTTTTCCAAATCCAGTATAGTTTTTAGGGGCATTCCTTTAACCATTCTCAAACATACAGATATTTTAGTAATCTTGAGCAATAATTTTCAAGTTGAAATGTTTCAAACTAGAGACATCTCTCTTGGAATTTTCATAATGGCACCCTTATAGTTTTATCACAGAGCTTATGTTTAACCATTTGATACGCTTCAGGGTACCGTATTAGATGATTAGATTATCAGCTTTTGTACAATTGATCCAAGAAAGATGATATCAATTTTAAGTCCATGCCATTCCTTGAAATATATTTCTTATATAGTAAAAAGAATTGAGAAATTCAGCTTCTACTAGTACATGACCTAAATCACCAGTTGGTTTGAAATATTTACTAGAGAGCAAATATTGTTTGGGGCAAGTGCTGGTGGTAAGCATTATGAACTTGAAATACCTGGCAATTTCTCAATAGCTGTCATACTTGCTGGGCTTCCTGTCCTCGTTATTTTTCTTCAAGCTTGTCTCCATAGCTTACATAAAATACTTAATCTTATTCTTTTCAGAGCCTAAAATCAGATGAAGAGCCTGAAAGCATGAAAGAACAGCAGCATGAGATGTTTGAGGGTCAAGGTGGGAAAAATGTAAACTTGATCAGAATATATAAACATGAGGGTAGGCAGAAGGATCTGCTTCTGATGCTTTCATACAACACCAGAAAAATGGAGTTTTAATTCTTATTGTAAAATACTTCCAACTACAACAGAAACCCTACAGATTTTGGAAACAATGCTGCATTAGGGGTTTGGATCGAAATGCAACATGTTTAGTACACCTTCTATACAAAGGGTTCCAAATCAATAGAGCATGTTGCCTTTTACATGGGGTACATTTAGATGACTGGCCCTTCTGTCTGGCAGAGTGAGGTAGATGAAGAGGGTTGTGGATTGGGAGAAGGTGTTGGAAGACACCATTGTGTGTACGACACACACTGTCTGCCCTACGTATTCTGCTAACCTGCTTTCTGCAGGTATGGTGAGGAGACTTACATATGAAGTAAGAGTTAACTCCCAATCCAGTTGGCTTTTGAGCATGGAAAGGGTAGAAGAGCCATCTTGCCCTTCACATCAGGAAGCAAAATGTTTCAGGCCAGCCCTGGATGGTAAGCACTAGAGGAAGCAATGAGAAAAAATGAACTCTTCAGAGGGTAATGAAAATGTAGCTTCCATTTAAATAGAAGGGTTTTACACAAGGAGCAGTCTGTAATAAAACTGATAGTATAATTAGAGGGAAAGTACAATTCTATTTAACTAGTGGAAATTCATTGTTTATAGGTCGAATGTGCACCTGGGATGATGACCTATATGACAGCCCCAGAAAAGTCTTGACCTCATATTTTGACATGACTGAGAATCAGGTTCGGGACATCTGGGAAGACCTTGGTATCGGGCATAATGGGTACCTGAACAAGCAAGAGCTGGCTACTGTTTGCAAGAACATTGGGCTCAAGGAGCTGAATAAAGAGGTAGGATAAATGTGGTTTTTGGAAACTTCTCTCAGCAATGCTGCATGGCCCATGCATGGGAAAATGGTGGCTGTGCCCAGAATATTCATCATTTAGGCATCCTATTCCAAGTGTCCAGAGCTCCCCTTTTCAAAGGAACTCCCTCACCCACTTGTCTTTGCAGCATTCCTGTGAGGCAGGTTAGGCAGAGAGTGTGACTGGCCCGTGGCTGCATAAAATTTTGAACCCGAGTCTCTCCATTCCTAGTCTGGCACTATTATGCTACACTGGCTTTTTCCACCACCAGCCCATCTCTTTGCTGTTGGGTGCATTTTGCTGTTACAGCTGTTTCCCCACTCCTTTTTATATTAGAAAAGTAGCAAATGAGGTTGGGATGGGGTGTGATTGTGCCCCATCTGGAAAGTACTATTCAGTATACCATCTCCCACCCTTCAGAGTTAGAGTTAGTGAATTGGGTCAGGACCATTATCAGCTGCTGCCACAGTGTGGGCCAGCTGCTGGTTTTCTGAAGCAAAAGAAATTTCTCCATCATGTAGGAGAACCCCAGAGGGCACCCCAGATGGTGCCACTCCCTGAACGAGACTGGCAAGGTCTGTTCTCTCCTTCTCCAGTGGAGGGGCTGCTCTGTCCTTCCAACCGAAATGGAAGCAGAATGGTTCCAATAGGCACTGTAACAGCTTAAAAACCTTTCGACAGAGAATTAAGGTGAGATGATGTTGTTATGTCTCCAATAAGAGAGGTTTACTGGGCTGATCACAAGAACAAAAGAAAAATAAATGCAATGTGCAACCATGAAAGCTAAAAGAATAAAATGTAAAACTAACAGCATAGGAAATTATAAATATAGTTCTAGAATTAAAAAAAAAAACAACCCTAGGTGCTTAGAAGAAAAGGCCTTTGCCTTGCACCATAAAGGAAATGTTGGCACTTGATGCCAAATGTTGTTGGCACTTGATGGATCCCAGAGGGCATTCCACGAACAGGCATGGACGGACAGCCCTCTTTCTTCTACCAGCTAACTTTGTGTGGCAAAGACACTCAGAGAAGGGTCTCCAAAGATGATTTTATCCAAGCAGGAGATATTTTCTTAGATGTTCTGGTACCAAGGTCCTGACCAACACTTTGAATTGGGCTTGGAAATGAACTGGAAGCCAGTGCAGACGGCAAAGCACTGATGTTGCATGGTGGTAGTGAGCAACCCCAGTAGACAAGCAGCTCTGTTTTGAACTTACTGAAGTTTCTAAGCCACCCTCAAAGGAAGCTCCACTTATACTGCATTGCAGTAATCCAGCTAGGAGGCTACCAGAGGATGGCTATCTGCCAGTGTGTTATCTCTGTTCAGGTAGGGTCACAGCTAACATATCAACCTAAACTGTGGGAATCTCAGCGAATAGAAATTCTACATAAGGAAATTCCTGTTTTCACCTGAGGCTACTGAAGGACATTAAACACCACAGAGATACATCAGACCAATACTCAATTAGTGTGGGTTTTCCTCACGCCAAAACCTTGATCAGAACTTTCCTGTTGTTTTTGCCAAAAAAGAGTCTGTTTTATAGTGTGTGATGAATATGTAGCTTGGAATGAAATCAGTATGGCTGTGCTGAAGATACCTGTGACTGGAAAACTACCTTTCTGGGCTGTGGAAGCTGCAGCCCTTCTGAGAAAACGAAAATGTCCAGTGACAACCCACCCCTGGCTGCTGTTTGTTTCTTGGATCATCACCCTGCCCACAAAGTATGGGGTGGTTCTGCTCTTGGATCTCTGAAGCCTCATCTGATACTTCTATTACCTGTCTGTTCAGGAATGGGAGACTGAAAAAGCAAAGAAAACAAAAAGAAATAGTTTACTAGTAATGAGGCAGGGCTTTTAAGAGCACCAGCGTGCTTTCTTGGCTAGGCTAGGCTAGTCTGGATAAGCAAAATGGTTCCTGCCGGAAAAACGTTCTGTTCCAAGGAGAGATGCTGGCCCCCCTTCTGGAAGGCTGAGGAAAATTGGTTTTGTTCCAGGGGGCAGTGTTTGAAGGCTGGAGTGCTTGCATATTTTTCTCACTTTTTAGTTTGCTCAGCTTTCAAAAGGCGTTTGTTTTGCCAAGATCAGACCCCTTACGGGACTTTGCTGCTTAAAGGCCATGGTAGTTGGCACTGATCTGCTTCCAAGGACATTTGGTAGTTCTGCAATATAAATGAACACAGAATTCAGTTTTGTCTTTTGTGTACAATGTAAAAATGCTCAATTTCTAAGTTGTTATTTCTATTTAAGGTAGTCTCCTCTGAGTGGTACAGTGTTTTTGAAAATGTGTTTCTTGCAGGATCTCGAAGAATTATTTAGTAAGTTGGATAGTGATGGAGATGGCAGAGTAAGTTTGAAGGAGTTCCAGCTTGGCTTGTTCAGCCACAGCCCCATTCCTTGTCCAGTTTCCTCAACACCACACAAACCAAAACATCAAAAATCACCATCTCACCAGGTAATCCTTAAGGAATGATTTCTGAGAGCGGCATCTTCAAAAATGTTATTTTAGCATTGAAGCTGTTCAGATAGTGCATAGTTTTAAACTGAGTAGTGTTGTGTCTCTAGCTTGTTCTTATGGAAAATTTTGGTTGATTTAAAATCAGAAGCAAATGTTTTTGAACATTTGCATCCTCCTGGTGCATGAAGAGAAGGGAAACAAGCCCCACCATGACTTGTTCACATAGCCAAAAAACATGGTTTCCTTTTGCATCTGAAATGTGCCAGAGTGCCTTGAACGCCAGTTCCAAATTTAAAAAGTGGTCTGAAAGATTCCAGAATGAAGGCACTGCTTTCACTTTGCATCCTTGGAAAGCAAAAGCAGAATTTATAATGCCTTGCCTTAATGATTCACTCTGAAGTGTTGGAGGGATTCATGGGTTCTGTCATTTGTCTTTTCTAACTATCTCAACAACTTGATTCCGAAACTGGGTGGGTGGATGAGAAGTGGGAGGCTCGGTATGAGTGGAGATGAGTAGCTAGTCAAAACAGCTGCAGAAATGGAAACTCAAATTGGAAAATGAAGAAGTGACTCAAATAATTCAGTAATTGCAGGGTCATACAAATGCGCCTTTGTGCTCCGAGAAGGTTCTGAGTGCAATCCAATATTTGGCTAAGTCCGCATTAGAATTCAGCCTCTGACCTGGGTCAAAAGGGCTGTATAGGAAGCTTTCTTGTATGCAGTGAGATTTCTGAGATTCCCCCTTGCTTTGAACCACAACAGAAAGGTGGCAACTCTGAACTCGGAACATAATCTAGTGCAATATGGCCTCACATCTGTTTAATTAGATAGTCACTTGCCTGGGATTAAAACTTAGAAACAAGAGTCCTGATAGGAATCCCATCCAGTGTGTGGTGTGAATGTGTGTCATCAGAAAGACAGGTGGCACCGGAAGTCCAAGTGTCCAAGAGTAAGCACTCATATTTGCATAAAAGCTTTTCAAAGGTAGGGATTTTTTTTAAGTGACTTCTAATTACAATCCAGTAAGCTTAAGTACAAATGGCTGCTAACCAATCCTTCTCTTGTTCTCAGCTTGAAACAAACTAATTCTCCTTGGGTGGAGGAGAGAGGACTAGTCCTTGTGTGGCAAGCTTAAAAGGGGCCTTCTGCTAGCTTTTGGCCAAGGTTTCCATATCTCAGCCCAAAGACACTTGTTGGTTTATGTATACTGAGATTGTTGGCAGATCATTCATTCCCTTGTTGATTGATCAGTGCCAGCTATGGGTTTTTGTGGGTGCCTGAGCAAAGTATCCTCAGTGGACCCCCCTTCCTTGGTGAGTCTAGATACTGAACACCCTTGTCACCGGCTGCTGGTGCTCCTCCTCATCCTCTTTCTCAGCATTGATGCCGCTTGCTTGCTTGCCAGGCGGAGAGTCGGGGAGCAAGCGCACAGTAGCTTCCAGGGCTCCTTCCTCTCACCCGGGCCAGCATGAGTGGGGACGAGGAAGCCCACCTCTGTCAGCACAATTGAACCAGCGTACATCTGGGCCGAACCCATCCTCTCTCCGGTGATGTTTTCTCTTCTCTGTACTTCTCTTTCTACCCTCTCTCAGATTTTCAAAGAGAGTGTCCATCGGAGTGCAACGCCGTCTTTTATCTCTGGTTCTGCAGCCTTGAATCTTTTCTCCAGTATTGATGACGGCAGTGGCTTTGCCAGTCCCGAGCAGATTGCTTCCATCTGGGCCCAGGAAGGGGTTGAGAACTGCAAGGAGATTCTTAAGGTTCTTGTGACTCTTCTTTAATTGCATTTTTGTGAATTACTAGTATTCTGGTTTCCATCGCAAAGATTTTAATGCTTGTCTGAGATTGTTCTCTCAGGCTTTAAAAAAGATGAAAGGCATGCAACATTGACTGGACTAATAGATGCACCTGATGTTAGTCTGACTTTTGAAGCATCTGTGAGCTTGCTTTGGAAATCAGAAAAGAGACTATAGGAGTTCTTTGCAAGAGGAAGCAAAGAAGGCTCTACATGTGTTACAATAATGTAATAATATATGCTCCCTCACTATGCCTAGTATAAATCTCCTCCCCTCTTCCCTCCCAAATAAAATCTGTTGGTAAATTGTATCTTTGCCTTAAATTTCTAATTGATACAATATCTATGCTATACATTTTAAACAACTGTGAAACTAGTTTAATTCTGGTGCTCTACAAACAGCCCCAAGAATCAGGGTCATTCCCTTTCTTGCATTCTTCTCCCCTCTCTGTAAGCTCATCTGTTGCTCACTCTTTTCTTCATAATGCTACTGCTCCTACCTTAGTGCTTTCTGCCATGAGCCTTCAAGTACCTTGAACAGTTTTACCTGTTCTGCCAAAGCCCTATAAATCCCCCTATTGCAAAGCCCTTCCTGTCTCCTCACCTTGTCTGCCCTTCCTGCTATTAGTAGGTCTTAAAAATAATCCCTTTCTTCCTGCACCTTCTAGTTTTATCCCATCTCTCAGACTGTTAAACCAATACCTCTGACTGTGGACACTGTCTGTTCTTTATACAAAACCTAACACACAGTGGCATTGAAAAAGAAATATTAGTAATAGTTTGAAAACCTGTTAAAGTAAATAAATGAGATGCTGAGTTAAGTTTCCTTTGATTTTGAGAAGTTGTTTCCATTTTATAGGGTTTGGATTTCAACATGGAGGAGAGAGTGAACCTGTTGGAGCTGTCTATGGTACTTGATGATGAGATAATGGCTTCCAAGAATGGACTTCAACAGGCAGCTTTTGCATCCTGTAAAAATGAACTTCACCATCTAGAGTAACTGGTTCTTGTTTTTGCCTTTTTGGGATGGGAGAGGGAATACATGCTTGAATCCTTTGCTGCCATTCTCAGAGGTCCAGTCTTATTTGGATGTGGAGAGTGGGTGCAAGTATCATAATCGTGATTATGTGGTTCTTGCGCATCCAGTTGTGAGCATATACTGTAAACATAGAAAGGCACACCATAGAGAAGAAGCGCTAGTTGTGTGGAAAGGTGGCTTCAGTTAGACCAGCCTCCCCCAACCTGATGCCTTTCATCAGGTTGTGTTTATACTGAACTTCCCATCGTTGCTGATCATTGGCCATACTGCCTGGGGCGGCCTAACCCAAAACATCTGGGCAGCACCAGGATGAGTTAGATTTATGCTCTAGGTTGAAGGTAGACAGACTTCAAGTACTGAATTTTTACCAGAATCTTGAGCTTCACCAACTGGTATCATGTGAGAAGTAATGATTCAGGCAGGCAATTTCATCCTGTAGATTAAGAACCATAATGCCTCTGAGCACAAGCTCAGCCCAGGAATTTGTGGCCAATACCAGAACCCAGCTCATAAGTCCTTTCATGCACAAAAACGGATCACATGATATCCCGTACCAAACATTTATTTCAATGACCTAGTTTGGTGGGGGTGGAGCCTTGTTAATCATTTGGGAGTCTGACATTTCATTGGTTTACCATAGGTCACCTAGAGCTCCACCAGCAAATCCCAGTCTGCTTTCTGTCCACCTCATTCTGTCCACCTCATCTACTGATCTTTGCCTGTAGTTCTGCAATTTCCACAAGGGCCCTGTGATGTCTTTATAGCAGGCGTGGGTAACCAGTGGCCTGCTAGATATTTTGGCCTACAGTTCCCATGAGCCCCCATCATAGGCTATGCTGGTTAGTGCTGATGGGAGTTACAGGCCAAAACATTTGGAGGACTGCCCATTGCCCAGCCCTGTTTTACAGGATCAGTGCTAATCCCAAAACACATAATCTTGTGTGTGTGTGTGTGTGTGTGTGTGTGTGTTTCGGCATCTTTTCCTTTGTTATAATATTTTTGAATGCTATTGGTTTGTTTTACCTCACTTCCCATTTTCTCCCATCCAAGTTACTCTGAAGAAATGGCTTTCTCAATGCATCGCTGCCTAATTGTATCACTATTGTTTGAATGAACAGAATGTTGTTCATCAAATTGTATAGGTAACTAGGTGTGGATGGGACTGTAATCTTTGGCTGGCCACCACACAATGAAACCATAACAAAAGGAATCTTTGATATCTCTTGAACTGCAGGGACCAAGCTAGCGATCCTAGAGATGTCTTCACAGTTGCTTCTTTCCTGCTTCCAGTACCTCCATTTGTGAGCCAAGTAGGGTCACTGAAAACTGGAGTCAACAGCTATGGGCAACCCAAATGTTGATTGTCTTGGTTGTATTTTAGTACATTCAAAGCCAGGCACATGCCTGATGCATATATCCAGAGTTGAACCGTAATGGACAGGATAAAAATATCCTAATAAATAAATACAATAAAATATATGTAAGGCCAGTCACACTGGGAGGTATATGTACCAGTTCGCATGCCAGAACTTAGTGCATTGTTTATATTGGTATGGACACCCATCCCCACCCTAGTATAAAAGAAACTTAACGTGGAGAGCTAGCTCAAGTAGCTTGGTGTTTAAGAATACTGGTGTGATGAAGAAGGGTGGTCTTTGCATTACCTCAGTGGGAAAAGCGCAATGGAAACTGAACGGAATGATGTATGTAGAGTTCATTGGAATGCACAGTAAGCAGCACCTTCGTTGCCTTTGCAGAGCTCAGATGGAGCAGATTTCCATTGAGAGAGACCGAGCAAGAGCCGAACTAGAGAAGGTGGAAAAGCGGAATGTGCAGCTTTTTAATGAGGTGGATGACAATCACACTGCTCTGGAGCACCATAACGAGAGTAAACTCAAGTATGGGAACCAGCCTTTGGCATCTTTCTGATGGTTTATAGCATTTTACATGCATATATAAGGGGAGAATCTAAAGAGCAGACTTCTATGCAGCACAATAAAATTGGCATCCTTTCATGCTTTCAGAGAAGAAGAAACGATGGAGCAAAGCAGCATGGTTGTGCTATCACTCTTTAACACCGTCAGTGTGGAGAAGCTGATTTCTCCTCACAAAATCCTTTTAAAACAGTCTCTATTTTGTCAGGGTTTTGTTCCCTGTTTTCCTGCTGACTGTAGTTAAACAATGGAATATAATTTTGAGTTAACCCCTAGATCACGTTTTTCTCTCTAAGCTAATTTAACTGTAAGAGCAGTTTGGCTGAAGTGTGGTAGGGCTAGAATTGCTTCAGTGAACACATACAGGAATTTATTGCAGTGTTTAGACTGCTTAATGGACAGCTTCTTATAAGCTGCCAGGAACCCTGAGTACTGCTGCTGCACTTGGAAATGCAGCACAACTGGAATTTCTTCTAGAGAAGACTAGAAGCTGCTAGAAATAGGCAGAGGTTAACCAATCCTGCAGCCCTAAGGGAATTGGAATTAAAGGGAGGGATCCATAAGTTCATTATAAGAGCACATCTTCTGATATGGAAGGCCCTGGCCTCAGTACCTGGCATCAGGAGTTAAGTGTTGGATAGTATCTTCTAGGAAAAACCTTTCTCTACCTGACATGCTTTAGAACTCTGCTTGTTCGAGTAGATGCTGACTATGCTGAATGGTCAACTAAACGGCCTAGTACAAGACCACTTTCTGTGTCTGTTCATGAGATAACCGCACCTTAGCGGAGAAACTGTCATTGAATGCATTTTCTGGATATGAAGAATAAAATATGGGGCTTCTTCTCTCCTCACTCCGTCTTCGAAATTAGTACTGTGATAACTACAATTATAACAGAAAATTCCCACTTGAAAATCTGATATCAGTAGCAGTGTAGTTATTTAATCCGAATAAAGAAGCATCTTCTTGTTCCTGACATTAATCTGCATTCTCATTTTTATTTAAAATTGCTTAATGTAAAATGCTTATGGAAAATAAGCCTACAATGGCAATCAAGCAAATAAGTTGGACCAATCATCCTAAATCCAAATTCTGGTTCCAATGATTGGAAAAAGGATTGCTATTTCTGAAAGATTGAAAACTGACTAGCTTGTGGTCTCACCCACAATAGAATATGGAGGGTCAGAGTATGACTGATGGAAGACATTTTTATAGTAGTGTGTATTTATATTTTTTAATAGAGAATATTTACAAAAAGTGTTTTTCTCATAGCTACCTCGTTTATTGTAAAGAACCCAAACATGCTTGCAAATACCAGTAATACTGCTTATATATTGCAGAAACCTTGAGCAAGATTACAAAGGAAAACTCACTGTTATGAAGTTTGAAGTAGAGATGGAAAGGGAACTGCTCTTGCAACAAGTAAACCATCAGAGAACCAAATTAGAAGCAGATATTAAATCTCTTAAAGAGGAAGAGTCGAGTCTCAGGGAGAAGCTGACTTTGGTGATCAAGGTAAGTATTCAGAACATTGGTCCACTGACTGGGTTCAGATAATGCAATAACTCGTGCTGAGGTATGGAACATGGTTTGATTGTGAGTTGTCATTGAAATGTGGTTGTTGTTGAAGCATGGGTACTCATGTTGTCTGAACCCACAAACAACCCATGAAGAGATTGTGTGATTTGTTGGGTTGTGAACTGTGGTTTGCTTGTGGTTGAAAGCTAATGTGCTATAGTGGTTAAGAGCGTGGGACTGGGACTCAGGTGATCTGAGTTTTAGTTCTATGGGTTTTAGTCGCTGCTTGCCCATGGAGCCAACTGGGTGACTTTGGGTCAATCACAGACACTCAGCTCAACCTACCTCACAGGGTGGTTCTTGTGAGGATAAGCTTGAGAGCAGCAGGAGGAGAATGATGTAAGCTGCTTTGAGTAGTTTGTAAGAAAAAGCAGGATATAAATATAACAATTGAACAAATAATAACAATCCATGATTATTCCAGCTGGATTTAGACAACATGATAACACATGCTTCAGTCCAACCCACAGCTCAACCCATAGTCAGCTGCTGAGTATGGATTATTGTGTCATCTGAACCCAGCTGTTGCATTCTGTGTTCAAAACAAAATACTGTTTCATCCTATGACTAGCATAGCTTGCTTAATTTTATCAATCTGCATTTTCTCTCACCGTGTACGACTAGGTCTACTATCTTAGTCATAATAAGGAACAAGAGCAACAAGATTATACTTTGCATTGCATATCTCATTGTGCTTGTGGCTTCCCACATGTGGCTTCCCTCACTTCACCGGGCTTTGCCCATACACTTTTATTTCCCTTGCAACCACAAGGGAGAGAAACTTGTTCTGCTTATTGTTTACATGAAAACCGAGATTCATGGGAAGTTGAATTCTGCACCCAGTTCCTCATTCTATGGTCCTGGGGAACTGCAGCATATGCACATTAATTATAGTGCTCTTGGGTGGTATGTCATTAGAATTGGAGCTGCCCTCTATACACCTGGAGAAGACCCATGATGTAGCCTTCCTGGAATTGTGCCACTTCAGAATGAGACAGTGGTGGTGGGACAGACAGGAGAACCATATGTTTATTTGCTTAGTTCCCCACTCAAAAAATTCTTGGCTGTCTCTAGCTTCCTCCTTGTTAAGTCATTTTAAATTTTAGGATGGTTTTTTCTTCCACGTGGGAACAATTCAAACATATAATCCCACCTCTGCATTCTGAAGTAGCACCGTTCCAAGAGAGTTATCAGATGGTGACAGCAGCTTTTTGTCTTGACAGTGTTGCTTGCGAGTGCAGGTTGTGCTGCATTTTACATGTTGTATCCCTCTGGCTCAAGAAATGCAAAAAGTATTACAGTCTTACTAGATTTTGTATGAAGTTCCAATAACTTTTTGGTATCTATGTGTTTTATAGGAAAATGGACGCTTGCAAACTGAGGTTGTTGAAGTGGCTCAAAAACTGTCTGCATCTGAAAAACAAGTACTGAAGCTTCAGAAGGATCTTGATTTCATGTTGAAAGATAAGGTAACTTCTTCTTGATGAAACACTACATTTCCTTCATCCTTGATGTGGGAGTTGAGACTTGCAAAGGGCTCCTTGGGCCTTTGGCCATTGTGAAGTTAATGGAACAAATGTGAAATGCAAGTGGTAATAGTCCTGCATGAAATCGGAACATGGCTGGTTAAAATAAACACTGCCAGTGTTGTTGTACAAGCAGCACAGGACTATAGCATTTTCTATAGTTATGTCTACTGTGATCAAGGGCAGGGGCAACTCTGCTATGAGGAAAGGTTACAGTATCTGGGATTGTTTAGCAAACTGAACAAGGCATGCAGGAGGAGACATAATAGAAGTGTACAGAATTGTGAATGATGTGGAGATAGTAGATAGGGAGAGATTTTCTTCTTCCATAATATAAGAACCTAGGGTCATTCTGTGCAGCTGATTGGTGGGAAATTTTGGGTAAAAGGAAGCCCCACTTCATGCAACACGTAGTGAAACCATGGAACTCATGTTTACATGATGGCCACCAAATAGGCCAGTTCCTATCAATGGCTCCTAGTCCTGATGGCTAGATGCTCCCACCCATATCAGATGCAATATGTCTGTACACCAGTTGACAGGGAACATGGACAGGAGGAGAAGTGGGATGGTAGAAATTGGTGACCTGCAACAGCAGGGGGTTGGACCCAGTGGCCGCCTTGGCCCCTTCCAATTCTATGATTCTGTGCTGTTACACCAACATCCTGCTTGTGGATTTCTGGTGGGCAGCTGGTAGACCATTGTCTGAGCAGAATGCTGGACTGGATGGACCCTAGATGGTCTGTTCCTGCATGACTCTTCTAATGTTCTTAGTTATAAAACTAAATAAATTTACCTGAAACTAAAATTAATGCAACAAATGTGAATTTAGAACCAAACTAAAAGTCTAGCTTGCCATTTCTGAATACATTGGCTCCTATCAGCAGCGTGTGATGCTACTGTAGTCTTTCCATTCACTTAAAAAAAATCTTTTTGCTTGTTTTAGTTGGGGCTCCTGGATCCACAGAGCATAGAGTTCTTTGATCAAGAGAAACGCTTTGCTGAAATAATTAAAGAGTATGAAGTGCAATGTCGGGTAGGTGATTTCTACTTGATGTTATAAATGGCACAATATATTGGGACTGGGATGAGGACGAGAGGTCCACAGCAGGCACACAGGGCACAGGAAAGTAGCGAAAAAGCAGTCCATATTGAGGACTCATAAACATCAAGGCCTCGTGTCTCTGTCCTCTTAACTAGTTACAAAAGCTTTTGCCAGCTGCTTGTACCATTTTATGAATAATACACTGTAATATACACATCAGGTCAGTTCACATGTAATACCAAACCATAGTTTGGTCCTGGTGATGGAGTGTCAGACTCATGCACCCCTTCTTACTACTTAGGCTCTTTTACTTCCAAATCAACAAACTGTGGTTTCTATTTGACCTGCAAGCCAGAGCTTGGATCCAGATTCGAACTTTGTCAATGGTGTTGATGGAAGTGGATGCCCTCATCCCCACTTTTCTGGGATAGTTCTTTCATCCCCTGTAAATACACAGAGTTGGGAGATTTTGCTGAACAGGATGAGTTAGGATGAAGCGGGGGATCCCAAAAACTGGGCAGAGCCAACTTTGACAAGAGGATTCCTTCCTCTTGTGGAAGGCAGAGCCTAGATCCAATCCTGAACAGCACAATCTGAGCTGAAGCTGGTTTGCAATCCTGGTTTGGAGTTCAGGCTCAAGCCAGAGTTTGAGTGTAGTGGCAAACAATGGTTTGTGCTAAAGCAGAAGTAACTAAGTGGTATAAAGGGAGAGGAAGCATGAGCTTTGGTCAGTGGCATCGCATCACACTATGGTTTGCCATTGCATGTGAATCTAGCAGCTCACGTACTCTTTCTTCTCATGTACTCTCTTCTTTCCTCCTACCTCCCCTACACCTCCCCATGGATCAGTTACTGCACTTGTTCTGCTTATATTTCTTGGTTTCAACTTCACACAGGAAGGCAGTCCACTCTTCCCGTTATCACCAGGAAATAGAAAGTATTAGACTCCTCATGTTTGCAAAGCAAGAGCCTTTGTTTGTTTTAGGATTTATTATTTTAGAAGTGAAAATTATGGTAGCGCTCCTGGTTGCAGGGTGAGAGTAGAAAGGAGCAAATTGCATTCAAGAAATTGTTTTTGGAGTGTTGGTTGTTTCTGGTGACAGACATCTCAATACAGGATTCTACACCATAGGAAAATAGGGTGCAGGAAGAGCTGTAGCACTAGTGGAACTTTGGAGGTTGTAAGCATTGGGAAGTCAGCAAGCCAGAAATACTAGAGATGGGTGTGTTGAGTTGCAAAATTCCACCTGTGATTATTACTGCAGAAAAGGAAGAAGCAATATTAATTTCCTTATGTGAATTAATGATTTTTAAAGGAGAGAGGACATGACCTCATTTCTAAGCCATTAACAGTAACATATGAGGATTTTATTATGCAATTGCCCTGCAATGTTGTGGGGGAGGAGAATCCAGAGATGTCTCAGTTTCAAAAGTGGAAAGTTGCACTTTTCCCAATAGAATAGCAGAGTTGGAAGGGGTCATGAAGGGCATCAGGTCCAACCTCCTGCTATTGCAGGACAGATGACTGTCCAGTTTCACCTTGAATGTCTCTAGTGCGGGAAAGCCCATGTCCTCTCTCTAGGCAGCTGGTTCCACTGTCATAATACCTTGACTGAGGAAGTTTTTCCTGATGTCTAGCCTGAATCTGGGTTGTCGCAACTTGAATTGATTATTCCGTGTCCTACACTCTGGCATCAGCAAGAAGAGATCTTGACCTTCCTCTTTGTGACAGCCTTTGAGATACTTACAGAGTGATACCATGTCCCCCTCAGGATTCTCTTCTCTTGAATGTTGTTAGATTACTGTGTTCCAGTGAATGGATTTGGATAAGGAAATCTAAGTTCAAATTCTTGATGCTTTTACTTAGCCTAATATATTTTCCAGTTTTGGGAGCAGAAATATAGGAAACAGCCTTATAACGGGTCAGGATATTTGTCCATCTAGCCCAGTGCCATCTGCTCTCTGTCTGGCAATGGCTCTCCTGAGCCTGGGGGAAAAGGCCTCTCTTGGTATGTTACTCTGCCTTTCCTGTGGAAGTCCCAGGCCCTGAAGCTGGGGACATTCTTGCACAGCATGTGCTCTGCCATTGAGCAACGTCCCTCCCCAAAATGGGCTCAACATCTGTGTGCCAAGCTGTGCTCCTTGGAGGAATAGGGGAATAAGAAATGCTGTGCTGCATCTCATGGCGCAGATTGAGCCAGGTGTGGAACACCACCGCTCCAACTCCCAGGGAAAAGAGAAGGTTACAACTGGCAGGGTCCAGGTCAGCATAGTCCTAAATATCTGGAATGCATTGTAGTACATTTTGTTGTTGTCATTACGTTGACTTTATATCCCATCTTTCTTCTTGCAAGGAACCCAAGGCAGCTTACAAGTATCTCATTCTCTCCGTCTTATCCTCACAACAAGAATCCTGTGAGAGCCAGTGTGGTGTAGTGGTTAAGAGCATGGGATTGGGACTCAGACGACCTGGGTTCTAGTCCCACTCAGCCATGGAGCCAACTGGGTGACTTTGGGCCAGTCACAGACTCTCAGCCCAACCTACCTCACAGGGTTGTTGTGGGGATAAGATGGAGGAGGAGATGTAAGCTGCCTTGAGCCCTTTGTAGGAAAAAGGCAGGATATAAATCTGGGGAAAAAAAATAATTAGGCTGAGAGTCACTGCCTGGCTCAAAGTCACCCAGTGAGCTTCTTGACTGAGTGGAGATGATAACAGCTCTCCAGAGGCCCAGTCCTGTTACAACACACTGCCTCTCATTAAGCTTTGTTTTACAGATGTTTTTAGCATAGCCTCAGGAAAGATTAAATCCTAAATTACCTGTACTTGCTGAAGCTTGAAAACCATTCTTATGCTGATTAAAACCTCCTGGAGTAAACAGTGAGAGCTCAGCCCCCTTATATGTAGTATTTTCCTTTCCTGAGGGAAAATGACCCCAGATCCAATTACTGCTAGGTTTCATACTGTCACAGAATTAACATAAGAATGCCCCCATAGGTCAGATCAAACCTCACTGATGTGTTGCAAATTGCAGAGCCTGCAGAGATGGGGTCTGCTTCTCTCAAAACACAGCATCCCTAGTTAGAAAGTTCAGGCTTGGAATGTGAACTAGATGGAGAAGAAAGGTTGGAATGTGGTACAGCAATGTCATGATTAATGAGCGAGATCTGTCAGGCAGCTGCTGAGAACCAAACCAGCTTGGCTTCTGGGGAGCATACTGTGGAACAGGGAGGGTCTGAGAAAGAGGGGTGTGAATTCTGAGTCAGCATCAAACCAAACAAGTGGACCAATTTAGTAGGTCTGGTTTGATGCTGACTCAGAATTCACAGCTGGAATCAAGCCTTTTGGAAAGGGAGGGAGGAGAGGGTCTTCAGTTTGGAATCAACTCTTCACATGGGCAAGAGCTGCTCCCACAAACGGGAGGGAATGCTTGGTGACAAGCTTGATGTAACTTGGAAACAACCTTAAACAAACAAACAATTTCAAAAGCGTTCTGTTTGAATCTGCTGGAATGGGAAAAGAGGAGAGCTGGTGCCTGACAGCACCATAGAATTAATAGCTGGAAAACACGGATTGTATATATGAACTGTCTGATGCAAATATAAAGCTAGTTTTTATTGAAATGAAATCAGGAGCATCATACTCAGGTATTCTGGAGATAACATGGAACATAGTGCTGTTCCTGTTTTGACTGCTTTGTTTCGTACTGTAAGGAAATTGAAATAAAGAATTGGTCCGAAGCGAGAAGCTGTTGAGTAGTAGTATGCAAAGGACAGTTTTCTTAAGAGCTCTGTAAGAAAACTCATGTACTGGCACTGATTTCCATTTCCAACTCAAGCCTTTCTGTGGTTTTTCCTCCCCAATTCTCAACATTTGGTGTGCTGCTTCTTTATTCATAGAGGGTAAAGGTGAGCACTCCTTAATTCCCAAGTGTGCTTGATATGGGTGTTTGTAATTATGCACTGTTTTTACAATCTGCATGGTGTGTTGCTACAACTTGAAATCTTGCATCTTTTCCAGCGTTTTTGTTTCCAAATGGTTGAATTGACACTTCCATGGATCTGTATACCACAACTCGCTCAATGTTTAAGGTCTTTATAAATAATATTGCTCCCACTGACCTCAAATAAGTTCATTCATCTGACAGTGCATGCTTTTGTTTGTCCCTTTATTGTTATATGAGACATACTCACATAATCTATATTTAATTGGAAGTAAAGTTCTGCAAACAGTTTGGCTTTATTCTCAGGCAAGGGTCCAGAGGACTGTAAGCGAACAAAAATATCATTTATGCTGTTCTTTGCAAATGTTTACATTTAGATTTATGAAATAAGCTTTTGAACATGGAAGACATTTTTTGGATGTAGACTGATTCTTGTATGTGCAAGGAGATATATGGAGCTTGTTTTTAGATACAGAATCGGGCGTCCAAATTCTGGTTTGGGATCTGTAACAATATGTGTTTTGGTCAGAAAACTTGGGGAAATGTTAGAGCATCTGTAGAAGTGCTTGTTTATGCATATGGAGCTATCTGGATTTTGGCTCAGTGGCTCAGCATTAAGAGTAATATCTGCCAACACCTCTCCTTTCTGAACAGTGCAGTTTCTTGCAGGCCTGCCTCCAGGTTTGCTCCCACATTTGTCTTCAGGAGTATTTCTTAGGGTTGCTTATTTCCACCTGAAGAGGGGGCTGTTGGTATAAGAGTTGTATAAGAGGAAGACAGTAGATCAAGTTTCCACAATGTTGAGGTTGGGTAGCACCAAGACAAAGTGTAGACTACAAGGCTGTCATTTGACATGGATAAATTAGTGTTGGCACCCAAAAATGAAGGGAAAGGCATGATAAGTACGTGGCTGAAGTCTCATGCGAGGGCATCCAGATTTAATCTACTTTTTGGGAAGGGAAGAAAAATGAGGGACATCTGCATTATATATTTTTAATCAGACTGGAATTTGGTTTGGATATGGATGGGTTTCCTATGGCAAAAGCTTGGAACTGTAACTTGTAAGGTTTTGAGAAATGACAGAAACCCCTTTTGAGAGCTACTGCTCCTAGGATTTTTTGGCTTGAATTCATGATCTTAAAATATGCTTGATTTTTTAAAAAAAATGCAACCAGAACCAAACAAATAATTTGTGATAAAACTTATGGGAGGCAGAACTTGCTTTGTCAGATGCAAATACACTTGCAGATACCCTAAGGCACAGCATGGCATTAGATAACATAAACCATATTGAAAGCCTGTGGTCTAATTATCTGGTGCTGGCCTAATTATCTTTTGAAAACCTTCTTAAGGTAGGTTGTCTTAAGGTAGCTAATCTCTTCTTGGGAATATGTGGATGCAAGCCATGGTTGCTTGTTCTGTCCTGTGTAACAGCTTCCTCTCTTGTCTCTGCTAAAAGGGTTTTAACAAGCTTAGTACTTCAAGAGCCTTCTGTTGTGAAAAATCTGGCTGTTTATAGCATTTCCATGAGAAATTCCCATGCTATAAACAGCAAATAAAGAAAAAATAAATAATGTGTAAGCATAGCTTGTTATTTCATTGAGACAGAGCTAGGCCACTTCATGTCCTAGATCAGGGGTCCTCAAACTTTTTGAATAGGGGGCCAGTTGAAAGGTGCCAGGGATTGTCGCAGGCTGCCAAGGAGGTGTGGGCAGGGGGTGCAGTCCGGGCGGGAGGTGGGGCATGTGTGCCTGTGCGCAGAAGGCAGGGGGATGCATGCACAGAGATCATTTTCTCCCAAGGAGTCTTCTTGCAAGCAAGCCAGCACCCTGGAGATTGTTTTGAACTTGCTTGGAGAAAAGGATCTCCTTGTGAGCAAGCCAGCACCTTGCTGTGTGCACGCGTGGTGAGCTATGGCAGACTGGATCAATGGGCATGGCGGGCCGGATCCAGCCCCCGGGCCGTAGTTTGAGGACCCATGTCCTAGATGATTTGGACTGCTGTAGTAAGCATGAATATGGGCGATGCAGTTCAAAACATTTAGAAGGCACCAGTTGCTTGCCTCTTGAGGCATAGTTGTGCTGTTCCTACCCACCAGATAAGATCTGAGAGAGATCCACAATAGAGTTGCAGTGCTCTTCACTGTACTACTTACAGGAATTGCGTGACAAGAATGATGAGCTTCAACTAGAAGTGGAAAAACTGCATTCCCAGCTACGTGGAAGGAAGCCTAACCAAGCATGGCATAATATGGAGGCCAACCATCGTGGAGGAAAGATCCTAAGTAACAGTGTAAAAGCCAGAATCCCAGGTGGGTAATACAAGCCATGCACAACTCTTTAGAAACTGAATCAGGTTCACACTAAAGAAATGTAGCTAGCGGCCATGCTAGATTAGGAACAGGACTCCACTTCCCAACCCTCCACCACTGATCACATTTCTTGAAGACGAAACAGGAAAAGTGACTGTTATCTTCAAATCTTGACCGATCACTCAGATACAGAATGCTAGGCTAGATGGATCCTTTGTGACCAGCCTCTAACTCATGTATGATCTGTGTGAAGAATTGGGTTAAACATTAGTCTCAGTTCACTGAATGGGCTTTTCAGTAAAAAGAAAAGTGCAGTGATAATGTGAGAAAAACACATGCCGGCAAAGTTTTTCTAAAATGCAGTAGACTTTCAGGCAGACCAAAAGCTAATATTAAAAGTGTGCTTTCCCTGCTTTACTCATATTTTTGTATTACTAGTCATATTTGAAGCTTATCCTTGCTCTTCATGTGTCAGTTTTCTACAGGAGCCGTTTCTGTTATGGTCCTTGGCACTTGATATTTGAGTTTGAATTTCCTGGTCACAGTATTGCACTAGTGCACGGGGATTTAAGGTCCTGTCACCATAGGCAGTGGTGCCTGTTCAGTCTCTCCCCTACTGTCCTTTCTTCCCATCTCAGTTGTGTGAGAGCTTTGTGCTGCAATGGCCCCAGCCAGAGCATCTTAGAACATGCTGGGAGAAATGCCTTTGCAGGCAGTCCTGTTTGCTGGTCATGAGGTCCTCTGATTTTCCTTACTTCTGCTTGTTTAGAAGTACTTTCAGTCTTTGAAGAACTCGTTTAATCATAGATAAATAACTTTTGTTTTTAAGACAACATACAAAGGGATGATCAACTTCTTGGATACCAACACTTACCAACCACAGGTCAAAATGGTAAGAGTTGCATAATCATGTATTTATGTGTACATTTTCTTAAGGATAAACTGTAGTCCAACACATTCACTTGGGGGTAGGATATCTGGTACTGAAATTATCTCCAACAACCTATCTAGAGACAGGTTTTTCTTGACAACCTCCAAACCTTCCAGTTCAGTTTCCTCCAGGGCTCGAAATATTTTCACAAATGTTTCAACTATAAACATAGCTTCGTGTAATATAGTTCACTACTCTTGTATCCATTGGGTATTAATGAATGTGCTATTGTTATATCTAAATAAATATATTTTCACTTTAAGATTTTGCATAGTTACTTTGAGATACTTCACAAAGTATCTCAAAGTATCACAAAGTTTTATATGAAACCTAATGTATATTTGATGCAGGGTGTATGCTTTCTGAGATCTGTGGTTAGCCCCACCTTGCAAGTAAACCCAAGTAAATCATGTGTGGTTCATTTTTTTCCTGTTTTCTGTTTCCTTAATATGAACACATGAAATGTGTAGATTGTAGCTCATCTGGACTTTACCATGCTCATGTCACCTTATTTTGTAAAGACAGGTTACTTACCCATAGTTCTTTGAGTGGTCATTTGTGTGTTCACATATAAGTGCTCTGAAGCAGCATAATGTCTAATTTCAGGAAACTTCCGCAGCTGAGAAGTTCAGGCGGTAGCCCCTCCATCGCTCCCATAGCACACATCCCTTCAGCCTATCTCCTCAGTTCTCATCAGACCACCTATTATAACCTATGAACCAAGAGGTCATCTTGATACAGTGCCCATTAAATCAATTTCAATTCCAGGTCGTTACAGAACAAAATGTGGGAAAGTCAAAGGGAGTAGGTGAATAATTCTGCAAGGCACTGTAAACCGTCTCACAGCATCAACACGCAACAGCCGTAACAAACGAGAAAGCTTTTTCAGTGTGCTCCTCAGCAGCTTCCACATTGATGTGGGAGTGCTGGGTGGGTTGTGTGAATACACAGAGGACCACCCAAAGAACTACAGTTAGAAGTAGGCAAGCTGTTCTTCTTTGTGGTCTCTGTGCATCACACTTTATGGGCACCTAACTATCTGGCTTACCTGCCAGAGGTGGGGTGACGTCCTCACTGTAAAGATGGAACACAGAGCTGTGCAACCAAAGGAGTTGTCAGCCTCAGCCCAGGCACTGCGTTTTATAATGAAAGTTCATGAACTGGACCATGTTGCTCCCCAGCAAAGGTCCTGCACATTGACTTCTGTCCCACAACTTCTTCCCCTTCTTTTTACCCCACATTGGTTGTGGGGAAAGCAGCTTGCCAGATATACCACAGAAGTATTGTCGGCCTCAGCAGTTAGTTGCTTCCCTGCAATTCTGCATGCTTGGAACTTTTTTAAAGAATATTTTTATTTATAGGTGTAATTTTAATTGAAACGGATCCTTATTCAGTAAGTATAGAAATGGAGCTTCTTGTGGAAGAATTGAAAGAACAACATCAAGATCTGAAAATACAGCTGGAAACTAAGGTATGTAAAGGAGGCAGACATGGGCAAGTGTTAAAACTTCAATTTAAAAACAACATAAATCTTAGAATCTGTAGATCCTGATGCTATTTCTACAAGCACACTTCACATTGCTTACTCAGTAGGAGCCAAACTGCTTTTAGTAAAACTGAGTTATACTATTTTGTAGCTTTTCCTAGTACAACTGTTTCATTAATTTGAATTTTATATCTGCACCTATTTAGGCCAACTGTATGTTTTGGAAAGAATGATTGTGATTTAAAAAATCACCCTTGTCAATGATGGCAACATGGGATGATGTGTTATGACTGAGAGGCATCTTTAAGAGTGGTCTTTTAAAGGAAGCAGACTTGATTAGCTATAACTGACAACAAGTTATACATTTGTTTTGACAAACCCCAGCCCTTTAATACAATTTTTTTAAAAAAAGATCTTGTTTTGTGTAGAATTCCCATACTTATGAAATGTCAGGTTTTCAGCTTTGAAGGCCAAATGTATATAATTCTGTTTCCTGTAATGTACATAGCCTTACCTCTAGGACTGTGTTATTAAACGTGCAATAAAGTTTCTAAAGCAGTTTGTGTATTTATCCACCATCCTATCTAAAAATCCATCACATGTGTTCTTACTGTTCCAGGTCAATTACTATGAAAGGGAAATAGAGCTAATGAAAAGGAACTTCGAGATAGAAAGGAAGGATATTGAACAAAGTTTCAAGATTGAGATCAGTGAATTGGAGGAACAGAAGAGTGACCTGGAGGAACTGAATGTGAAATATCAGGAGGTGATCGACGGCTTGAAGGACCAGCTTCAGAAAGTAGGTTCTGTCCAAGAGTTAAAGAAGAGATTTGAAAAGGAGAGGTCAGAAATAGAGCAGAACTATGCTAAAGAGATTTCCAGTTTGGGACATAGACTGGCCCAAGAAAGAGACAGATTGGAAGATGACATGAAGATGAAGCATGAGACTGAGATGCATCTTATGAGGTTATTTTCTTTTTGAAATTATAAACATGGGCACTTGGCAATATGAATGGTAGCCATTTATTTGCAGACAGGTGCAATTGTGCACCAAGACTGAATGTTGGAAATTCAGGTAAAGGATAGCGCAAGAGCAAGTGTGGCAGATGTCTTTCTCACTGATAAGTAACTTTGTGTGTTCTGTTGCAGTCTTCAATTTTTAATTGGTATAGAAAGAATGGAGCATTTTTAATGAATTTGACATTTATGCCGTGAAGTAACTGGCATGCTCAGCATATCTCTGGAATGAGTCCCTATTTGCAACTTAATTGTCCTGGAACACTTTCAAGTACCACGATCAGCCCAAAGCATTTCGGCTTGCAAGCAAGACTATCTTGGCTTGCATTTTGTAATGCAGTCTGAAAGTACATTGAGTACATTTCCTCTAAAACAGCTTTGGGCAATTTGTAGCCCTCCAGATGGACTGCAGATCCTGTCTTACCGCCTGTTGGTTATGCTTGTTCAAGTTGATGGGAATTATGAGTCTGAAGATATTGTTGGACTGCAGGCAGGTTGCCCATCCTTGCTCTAAAGCCTTGAACAGAAGCATTCTATGGTTTCTCATGCCATTAAAACATGGTATAGGCCAGGGGTTGGCAACCCGCGGCTCTGGAGCCGCACGTGGCTCTTGAACCCCTCTGCTGCAGCTCCGTTGCTCAAAACACCCGCCCTCAAAACACCTGCCAGCACAGCCACTGATCTGCTCTGCTCTGATCTGCTCGAAGCTCCACTCAGGAGCTAGCTAGTTAAGTAAATAGCTACATTCCTCTGCTAAACAAGCTTCCTGCAGGCTCCAATGTTACACAAAATGCTGCTGAAAGGATTTTCTTTGTCCCAATGTAATCTCCTACATCTGCATGTTAATAGCTGCGCTTGGGACCTGTCACAATTCACAGCACTTGACTGTATCTGCTAATCAGTCACTAAACTCACCTATATCTCCAATTTACTGAACTTATGGGGTTTGCTGTTTAATGCATGCAGTCCTTTAGCACTGACTTTGACTCTTCAGGAAGCTGTTCTCCTATTCACAATATATGAAAGAAGTCCTACTAGTTTATAATGTCAGATTAAAAATAACAGTTTTTAGTGATTGAACAAGAGCTGCAGCTAAATCATAATGAAGATATACATAGCATTAAGGTAAAAAACGATATATGCAGTGTTATCTTCATTTTAGATGTCAAAAGGGTTTTGCGGCTCCCGGTGATTTCTTTTGCGTGGGAAATGGGTCCAAATGGCTCTTTGAGTGTTAAAGGTTGCTGACCCCTGATATAGGCAAACTAGAAGACATGGGAACATTGGCCTTCTTTATTTCAGGTGATTTAATCATGCTTCATTAACTTGGAGCAAAAGAGGACTGGGGGGACAATGGAGATTTGGGGTACATGCAGAAGGGTGGGTGGAGCATTCTATCCACCTGTGGTGTCCATGCTGCAGGCGGAAGCATCCCATTGGAGAGAGAATTGAGCTGAGAGATTTGGTAGCTGTGCTGTTATCTTAAGAATGCTGATGGCTGACCTTGTTTATATATGGAAGACAGAACTCAGATGGCTAAAACCTGTAAAATGCACACTAGGAGCTAACATTTTTTGGAAGACAGTGAATAAATTATTGTCTTGTATGTGCAACTATTTTCCTTACCTTGCAGTTAAACTGGGCTGTCAAATGTATTTTGGAGGCCCACATCCAGATGCTAATGTGCTAATTGCTCATTCTTGGTAATCACTGAGATGTTTAGCAGCAAAGAGCTGCTAATGTGATTATTGAATGGATGTTAGTTTGGAATAATATTATAAGGAAGGCAAGCATAGCCCTATTAAGACACTGTGCTAAACACAAACTGTGGTTCAGGTTTGTGTTTCTGACCTGTGAATATGATCTAGCTAGTGGTGTTGCCATTAGTCAGTGTTTCATCTTTGTAGGAAGGAGGCAGAGGCAGTTGAGTCAAATCGCAAGCTGTCCTAAACTTGGAATGCTGAAAATGGCAAGATTTTAATAGACAAGAGTCTCAGGAAAGAGAGTCCCCTGGAAAGCAGTTTGAATATGCAGAAGCTGAGAGTACTGGGTGGAAAATGAAAGCAAAGAATAGCAGAAGGAAAGAAGGAACAATTTCAGTTCCAAGACAGCATGAACAAAAGGCAAGTGAACAAGTCGTTTGCTCTGGAGAATGAGAACAGTCTTAGAAACTAAATAAAGAGCTCTCAGAAAGAGGATCTCCAGTGGCTTTATGTGAAATAGATGGATTTGTGAAGGGCTGTTCAGAGCACCTGAAAGGAAGAGGTCATTGCAGCTATTTGATTAAGCCCTCTGTGTGAGTGGGCCTTTTATTTCTGGCCCAAGTGAGTGACCAGCGAGAATTGGGCCTCTGTGTTTAAGGCAAGGCACATCAGCTTGTAGAAGATCAGATAAATGCACGGAGCAGCTGCACCACATACTTGCACTTGTCTTACTGGAGGACAAAATGAACCCACTGAAGATTCAGACTTGCTGTATAATGAGCATTTAAACACCAGAGGAAATTATTTTACCAAGTACTACAGGATGTATCAATAAAGTCGAGAAACTGATTGCTGTATTATTCATTCAAAGTTATGCATAAGTTGTACTCATTTGTTATGAGCTCTTGCTGCAGTGAAGGAGGAAAACATCTAGAATCAAGATGGGCTAATGCCACAGGAAGCAGAGCAGCAGGGACAAGTAGAGCTAGAGAGTGAGAGCAAGACAAGAATGAAGCTTTCTGGCTAAGAGATCTACTGCTTACAAAAAGGGAAAAAAGCAGGAGGTTTGACTGCTAGGGATTTAATCCAGTGTGCACAGGGAATTGCTTAGAGATTAAGTCCCACTGAACTGGGTATGAACTATGTATGCATAAAAATCCACAAAAGTGAGCTAGTCAGCAGCTACACCAAGCATGACTTTAAGTTAAGTGCACTTCCAGATAGAAACAGAGAAACTGAGCAAGTCAGAAGGGGCCTTCCGAGCCACCTAGTCTGATCCCCTGCTCACAACACGCCTAACACGTCCATGTCCAGCCTATCCTTAAACACCCTCACCGATGGGGCTTCAACCACCTCCTGTGGAAGCCCATTCCATACCCTGTGAAGGAGTCCTAGCAGTAACTTGAGAGCGTTTCCAGATGGTGAGTTCCCAGCAAGAGGGCATTGTGTAGCTATAATGTGCTTTCTTTCTTAGTTGTTGTTCTACTCACTGTTAGCTAATCAAGTATGGGTAATCTGGTAATCTGATCTCACATCCCTAAACTAATGCTAGTCCTTCAATATGGTTTGCTTCTACAATGCAGAATTGAACTCCATAGGTTTTCAGAAGACAATATTCTCCTAAAAAATAAACTCGGAAGATTGCAGCAAGAAGCTGAGGATGCTGATGAGGCAAACAAAAAGCACAGGTGATTTCCTTGTTCTCTTTTAAAGCTGTCAGATTAAGTGGCTGGGCTCAGGCGATACAGCAAAGCCATGGCCGGTTTTGTTACCACTGTCATTCTGTTGAGCTGTCCCAACCTAGTAGTCATGGTATTTCACTATGGTAAATTTAGTCTTTACTCATTCTCTGAGGTTAGGTTCCCGGTCTCAGGGAGCAGCCAGTGCAGTTCTTTCCACGCCAACTGCAAGGGGCCAGGAAAGAGAGATTGTAGGTCTGATTCCCAGCTCCAAGGTCAGAGTGCTGTCTTGGAGTTTGAAGCTTGGAATCCAAATGATCCCATGCCTTATCTCCAGGATGATGTCTAGGAACCATAAGATCACTCTCTTCCTGATAGAAAAGTATCATAATTAAAATATTCCTTCAAACGCTATATAAATGTTACATTATACCACTTTAATTATAATTTCTTTCTTCAGAAAACACATTGAAGAATTCAAAATGGAGAAAGAGAAGGCTATGTATGAAATAGAAGAATTAAAGCAACTGGTAAATATATAACAAGGGTTATATATGATAATACAATATTGTATTATATATACAATAATACAATACAATACAATACAATATCCTAGAATTGTGTTAGATCTGCTCAGGTCTGTAACAGGTTCCAGAAGCTCAAAAGCTCAAAGCAGTACAAGATGGATATGATTTGCAGTCAAAAACCAACGGGTGGACACTTTAAAAGGGGAGGAGATGGGCCATAATTAGGTAATACTGTTTTATTTACAATTATTTTTAAGCCTCCTTTAAAAGCAAAGCCTAAAAGTGGTATGCAGACTAGAAGCTATATGGAGTAGATGCAACAAAAATTAATATAGTCATAAAAATAAGTCCATAAAAACGTATCAGCAATAAAATACATTTAAAAGCCTTGCCAATAAAACCAGCGTCACTGACATTATGTGAAGGCCAGCAAAACAGATGCATCTTCAGATCTTTCCTAAAGGCTAGCAAAGAAATGCCCTGGCAGCCTCCCAAAAGAAGCCCATCCCATACCACTAAATAGCTCTTTCCCTTGTACTCACCAGCTCAACTGCTCTTGGAAGTAAGAAGTAAGATGACCACAGACTGAGCAGGCTGGAATGGGAGATAGCCCATCAGTAGCTCATCGTATAGAAACACAGAAACAGAGCGAGTCAGAAGGGGCTTCCCAGGCCATCTAGTCTGACCCCCAGCTCCAGCTGGCTCTGCTCATGACATGCCCACCATGTGCATGTCTAGCCTATCCATGTTTGCTTAATTCCTGATACTGCCAGTTGAAAAAGAGCAATTGATGGGGGAAGACCTCTGCTGTCTGAGACCCTGAAAAGTAGCTGCTAGTTCTAGAAACAAGGACCAAGTCAGAATAGCAATGCCTCTCGCTTGATAGTGTCTCTGCACTGATGGTTAGACAGCTCTATCTGGAGGCAGCAAGGATTGGATCCAGGACCTTTGGTATGCAAAGCATTCCCTCTTCCACAGAGCTATGGCGTTTCCTGAGAGTAAATAATACTGGGCTTATTGTAAAATAACCTGAGTTGTTAAAAAAACACCCTCCTATGCTTGTTGACAAGCCTTTCTCCACCAGCCGCTTCCCCCAGGTATGTGGTAAACACATTCCTGGAATCCTAGCTTGGGCGGTGGGGGGTGGGGAATGGCTGAAACTTGCCTACTTTCTGCATCTCTGCTGCAACCTGTCCCCTCTATCACTTTGCAGTTATTCAGTCATGACCTGGGTTTTCTCTGAAAGTCAACTTCAGTCAGTGGTTACCCAAACACACATCAGCTGGGGAAGCTGTTGTTGAATAACCTCTTAGTATCCTGACCATTAAGAAAAAGTACTTGAGTTAGCTGTTTCGCAATTTTACCTTTGCAACGGCCCTTGGACAAGTTAGGTCACATATGGATTTGCCCAGGGCTATTCAATAAATTTGAGCTGAACTTGGATTTTCCATGGTAAACCCAACAATATCCACCTTGCAAAGTGTCTTTGTTAAAACAGTAATTACTGTTTCTTGTCTGTAACTTCAGGGTCTTTCTTGTTTGTGTCCTTCTGAAAGTCTATAACAACTTCACTGGATTTGCACAACATGGCTACCCATCCCAAATAAGTAATCATGGTGGGTTGTCACATTGTGCAAACCTCGACGGCTTCCCACAGGATGCTTTGCCTGTGGGCGGCAAGCCTCCCTGACAACCCATGACTTGTTCTAGGGGTTGCTGTGTTGTCTGAACCTGGGCAACTGATCCCATCATGGGTACTGGGAAGCCAGTGACAGCTATTCTACTAAGTGCCCAAACAGACCTTTGGAGTGACTGTCACTAGCTTGATCTCCCCTGTACTGATTACCCCCATTTCTGTGGCTTGTTTCCCCTTTGAGGTTTTTCCCCTCTTCTGGAGATGATTTTTTGCTATCTCTAAACTGACAGCCTGGACATCAGAATGGTTTGCACTGTTTTGTTGCCTTGTTCTGTTTCCTTGTGTGCACTTGAAGTTTACACTTTTTTTCTTTTGTCAAATTTTTGGAGTTGTGCAAAATAGAGGAGACATCATCTGTGGGTGTTGATAAAGCAAGGCTAGAAATAGGTTTTGATTCTTATTTTACAGCTTTAAAATGGTGAGCTGTCAAGTAAGAAGTGAAGCCATGAGGGATCTCTGCTGGCAAAAGGAGATGCTGTGTAAACCTTCTTCGCAGCAAAATTCTCTATTTTTTTGGTTTCTATGTAACTGACTCTTCTGTGTCCTTCACTTTTTCCATCCTTTGCTGAAGGCTTTAGGTGGTTAAGAAAATGGAAAAGTACAAGCCAGCACATTTTGACAGAGCTAATCAGGGTTTTTTTGGCAGGGACCTATCTAGCCATGAAAAATGGAAACAGCTGTGGCAGCTACAAGGGGTGTGTGGTCACAGTGAGGAGACAAGGTGGATCCTGCCATGGAGTCCCCCGAGATGCCCACATGGTAGGACGGAAGAGGAAGAAAGGGCAGCAGTGAGCCTGGTCATCTGTTGGGCACAGCTTAGAGCAACCCACCCAATGTAGCAGAGTTGTGCAAACATAGCTACTACCATAGTATACAGTAATAGCTTGCCTTTGCTAAGCTGGAAAGTTGCAGCTGGATGATCACTTGTGGAAGAGAAGCAAAGGGGGTGGGGTTGGACTCAATGGCCTTACCGGCCCCATTCCATTCCATCCTTTCTGTCCTACAATTCTGCTTATAAAATGCCCAAATGGATTCGGCATTTAGAAATGCAAGTCCTTTAATCCTCAGAAGAGACATTTTTCCTTCTACTTCTCCACTGACCCACCCATATGGCCTTCAGGAAGAAATCACTGTACCAGTATGAAAGGCCCCTGTGCCACAGTGCTTAAGAACAAGGGACACCTCGATATCCCTCATTGGCCCCAAGATACACACTTCTAAGGGGCTATAGCGGCACAGTTCTGAATGTCTGCAACTTTTCACTTCAGAGTAATCACTACAGAGAGGAAATCTTCCAGTTGAACACCAGGATTAATCTGCTGAGCTTTGAACTCTCAGAACTAAGCAGCAATCATAAAGCCAATCTGAATACAATCAGTGTCCTGAATCAGAGGCTTGTTGTGCTGGAAACCCAAAAAGAACATGAAGCTGTGGTTGCCAAGCAACTTCAGGAGGCCTCTGCTGAATTGACAAAGGAGCATCTTCAGCGGCAGTTGGCATGGCAGGGAGAAAGGGCTCTGCTGGAGCAACAGTTAGAGGCCTCTAGGGAACAGGTAAGGTTGAGCTGAACAGAGTTCACAATGTTACGGGTGCTGTAAGGTGCCTCTGCAGAAAGGTAAAATCCATCTATATTGTGCCAAGCAGGTGAGGGCAACATTCTGGCTAATATTCTTGTGTCCAAAAAGTGGATCCTGAACAGCAGAGGACAGTGCCTTGACTATGGCCATAGGGTTCTTGTGGTAGTTATGTTATGCCATGTTTAGGCAAAAGGAGGAAATTGTTTTTTTCTTAATTGACATGTGTTCTGGAAGATGATACTGCACAGCTACTTGATTTAGCTATTATAGCAGCTAAGTGAGTATCTGTGCATTGGGGTGGGAAAAGGAGGACTATTCAGTGGGAGTAACAATTATTCTTCACTTGTTGCCATCGCTGAAGCATTTATATTTCTTTCCCATTTGTTCTCCAAGGTGCCCAAGATGGAATATGGGGTCCACTTCCTCATATTTTATTCTATGGGAGCTTGTGTTTTGTGCTAGATAATACTTTCCCACATTTAGACTAAATACTTCTATGTAATGCTAGAGGAAGGGTTCTACTGAGTGTTACTTCCAACTGAGTGATCTGGTAAAATTCCTATGCAATAGAGTCTGACAAGAGCATCTTTCTAGGTGTAATTCAGAAAAATGACATCCATCATAAAATTACTATAAACAAGGCCTGGCTTGCAAAACTTACTTGACTGCTATCATCCTCTGATTTTTTGAACAGATCAGCCAGTCACAAGGGCTTGAGGCTGAACTTGAACATTTGTCCCAGGAATGTCGGATGTTACAGCTGATGAAAACACAATTGGGAGAGGCGCTGGAAGAATGCCAGGATCAGGTAAGCCGATGGAGATGAATATGAAAATGGCATTTGCCCATTTTGACCATTATTGCCTGCTAGAAAAAGACTAAACTCAGGCCTTTTCATGTGTCCAAATTACATATTTTATTTGCAAGATTCTAAGTTGGTGTTAGGGAGTTTATGGAAAGATAGTCCTGGGGAGAGAGCAGTGGTGCTGTGTATAACATCAAAAAAGAGAAGGCCAGATGAGTTCTCTGGACCTGGTTGTTGATTCCCTCACTATGCAGAACAAGGCAATGAAGGAATAGTGAGCTAAAGTGGAGTAGCTTTCTACTGGAATGCACCTGTTTTCCCTGCAATTTACAAGTCATTCCAAACAAGTTTGAATTTTCAGGTGGTTTTCCATATTCTAAATTCTGACTTTCACATTCACTAAGAAAATTACCAACAGATTAATATCACCTCTACAGTTTAAATACAGATCCAACTAAATATAACTGTAAGGATTAGAATTGGACCACTGGGTTATTTCAAACTTAGTTATGCACATTCCTGCTTAAGTATTTCTTGTGTCTGAAATATTCTGGACTTGGGCTGGTTATGTCTTTTTCTCTTACAATGTAGCTCTTGGAAGCCAACACACATTTAAGGTTGGTAGAATCTCATCATGCAGATGAGCTGCAACACTTAAGGAGCCAGATGGACAATTTGGTATCTAAGGATTGCCTTAGTGAGCTAGAAAACAAATTGGTAGAAAAACAGGAAATGATCAAGCAATTGCAAGAAAACCTCAACTTCCAGGAAGAGCAGCTGAAATGGCAGCTGGCCACATATCAGGTGAGAAGAAACCGTGCTTTCCACCCTTAACATGAAGCCATCTAAGAGACGCAAAGTGAGAATGCTTCTGTGTAATACTAACCATGGTTTATCACTCTATGCACAAGCAGAAAGAAACCGAGGCCCTCATGTGAGTCAGAAAACCAGGAATCTGCTAAAATTGAATACAAATTGACTTGTAATCTTTTTGTAATAGAATAATAGCAGTGAAAACAATGTTGTGTTACATGCTCAAGTCATCTCAGACTTATGGCAACCTATGAATACCCTCCCAAATTTCTTGAGCTTGACAGCTCTGCTCAGCTCTTATAAACTCAAGGCTGTGGCTTCCTTTATAGAATCAATCCATCTCATAATTGGTCTTCCTTTTCTTCTTCTGTCTTCAAAGTTATCTAGCATTATCATCTTCTCATTGATACAATATTGCATCCTAAGTATTGTTTCAGTCACTACAAAAGTGTACAAGGGAAAGTTAAGTAAAATTAGGTAGGTCTTGTTTTGCCTGGTAGTATACAAAAAACCCCAAGAGTATTGTAATATCTTGGGGATTTTTGTTACAAAGTGCTATATATTGATGATTTATAGCATAATGGAGGAGAGGCTCCTGGTTGCTTCCACTTCTAGATTTACACATAACACAGGGGCAGGCAGAACTCATGCTTGTGGATCTCTTTTTTTAAAACTAGAAATCCAGAGCTTGCTGCAGAATGCTGGCTGTGGCAGTAAGAAATAAGACGAAGAATTAAACACTAAAATTATGGAACAGGGTGCCTTCGAATACATGCACAGTCTGGGAATGAGATTCCTACCAAATCAGGCTCAGAAGATAGCAATTCTAGTCCTCATTTCCCCTAAACATTTTTATTCCAACATCTTGATTTAGGGCAGTGGGGGGAGCTTTGTATTTGTTGCTATTTTTGCTGGAAATTGGAAATCCTTAATTTACTGTAGATTCCAGTCTGCTTTTGGCCTACCCTGTGCTATCAGAGTTTTTATTATAATTCGTGTCCTCTTTCTGTAGGAAGAGAATGAAAACTCACATAGATTAATGCAAGAAAAGGCAGGGAAACTGGAGATGAACTTGAAGAATGCAGAAATACTGCTTCAGGAAAATATGGCCCGCCTCAAGGAACAGGTCAGTAGAAAAGGAGATCTGTTGCTTTCTGTGACAAAAATAGGATTTGGTCATCTAAAAGGCACAGATAATCTTCTTGTAGAATTAAATCTTTTGTGAAAGTAGAAATAGAACTTGTCTGGGAAATTATACTTACCTTAAGCTGACCTAAAATATACCTCCTTTCCTTAGTATGCTTTCTGTGTAAGAGGAGAATTAGATCTCTTTAGGCACACTTCCCATTCCCTTCAGACTTTGGCCATAGACGGATTAGTTGGTACAGGGTCAGTGTGCAGAACAGCAGTTCAGCTACTGCTTTACAGGACTGAATTTAGAGCCAGCACAGACCCAATGCTAGGCCTTTGTTGAGGCTGGGCTGCAGACCCATGTTCAGGGACTGCTGACTCCAGTACAGTGTCCCACCAACCATAATAGCTCCATCTCTTTCCCTTGGCAGAAATCCCTATAGCGAAAACAGAAGGGACAGAAGTGACTGCAGCTTGTACCTATGGTGGAAAGCAGTGGATTTTGCCACTTTGAGCTGTGGCTCTGAGTTGAGCTGTTTCCAGTTCACTTGCAGAAGAGGATACTTTTATAAATTTTATAAAACTAGGAGATCCAAATTCTAGTCCCCACCTAGCCATGAAGCTCACTGGATGACATAGTTTCTTAGCCTGACCTACCTCACAGGATTGTTGTTGTGAGGATAAAAATAGAGTGGAGAATTATGTAAACCACCTTGGATTCCTCAGAAGAGGAAAAAAAGGCAGGATATAAATGTAATGACAACAATATAAATTCAGCATTAGCAATAATGTGAATCTTGGGAAAAAAACTGTAATACCAGCAAACACTATTGATATTGCACTAGCATGTCATTTATGTAATTTTATTTATTATATTTATAGCCTTTTTCCTGTCAAGGAACCCAAGGTGGTTTACATAATTCTCCTCCTCTCAGTCTTTATCCTCAGAACAACCCTGTGAGGTAAGTTGGGCTGAGTCTGTGACTGGCCCAAAGGTACCCAGTTGGCTCCATGACTGAATAGAGACTTGAACCCAGCACTCAGTCCCACACTCTTGGCTACTACACCACACTGGCTCTCTAAAAATTCAGAAAACATTAGTGAGGGCTTGTACTAGTGCAACAGGATACTGCCTTATGAAGAAGAGTTACTCAAGTAAAAGATGTATGACACGCATCCAGTACCAAATGACAACTTAACTTGGTGGGAAGGATTAATTATTCTAGATTTATTCCTATTTGCTTTCAACTAAGATGCTTTAGGCAATTTCCAAATTGATTACAGTTCAACATGACTCAATATTTGACAACCTTCATTTCAATTGGATGAGAAGTAGATTGTTCCTCAGAATATACTGTTTAGTTCCATATACAGGCAAAGAGCTATTTACAATTATTCATGAAGTCTGCAGACATGGGGAGGAAGAAGGGCTTGATATGGAATATTTTATTTAAACCCTTTTGATAAAACTTAAAGATGAGTAGCTTAGTCCACAGGTTTATTTCTCAGTTAACATGTATGCTTGCATATGATAATGGCACACATAGTCATTAGTAAAATGACTAACAAATGATTAACAGAAAGCTATTTTCCTTTCCAGTTTGAAAAAAATGCCAAATCTAACCTATTGCTCAAAGACTTATATGTGGAAAATGCACAACTGATGAAAACTCTGCAAGTTGCAGAACAGAAGCAGAAAAAGGCAGAAAACAGAAACCTAATCCTGGAAGAAAAAATCTCATCTCTCAACAAATTAATTAAAGAAATCACTCTGGCATCACAGTGAACACATTTGCTTTTCAATTATGTCACTTTAAACTGGAAGGACAATCGATGGAAGAGACAATACAACATCTAGTGGCCAGTTCTGTTGTATACACATCAAATCCTTGAGAAATGAATTTCTGTTCCCTTCTTACTGACAGATCATAGTATGAAGGATCCTCTACCTCCTTCATGTGAAGAAAGTGTTACTGCTAGCACATGGAGCCCCTGCATGAGAACATATCACAACAAGCAGGATAAAGTCTTCTCAGCAGAAAGCTTGAATGTGGCAGTGCAGTCTACTAGTCAGTATCAATAAACACCCCCCAAAAATTTTTCCAATGGAAAAGTTAGTATGTAGTGCTTTCTGGATCATTTTCCTAGAAGCAGCCTTCTGCTCTGGTTCTGTTTAAGGACTGGGTGATATTTATTGTGATTAGCAATATTCTTGTCTGTACACTGGCCTGAATTGTGTATATATGTACAGTTTTCTACAAGGTTATCATAATTGGTTCTTTAGTCACCACCTGTATAATTTGGGCAGATCTGCTGTAAATGAAAAGAACTAGCTGTACTTTTTTGTTGCTTTGGATAAAACTTGACATGACACTTTTTAATTAAAATGCTATTTATGCTGCTTGTATTTTGTGACATTTTATCAGGACATACTCTATCTTGACTTCAGCAAAGCTTTTGATGAGGTGCCTCATGATATCTTGATTAACAAACTAGCTAAAAGTGCACTACATGGAATAGCTTAGTTGTTGGCTACAGAATTAGACTCAGAGTGTTCATCAATGGCACCTTCTCAAACTGGGGAGAGGTATCAAGCGGGATACCTTAGGGTTGTCCTGGGCCCAGTGCTCTTCAACGTTTTTATTAATGATTTGGACGAGGAAGCGCAGGGAACAATTCTCATATTTGTAGATGACACAAAAGTGGGGGGAATAGCTGGAAGACAGAAAGAAGATTCAAGGTGATGCTGATAGTTGAAGCACTGGGCTGAAAACAGCAGAATGAAATTCGATAGGAACAAATACCAAGTTCTGCATCTAGGAAAAATATATGTATTGTTACAAGATTGGGAATACTTGGTTCAACAGTACTGCAAGGGAGAAGCAGCTTCGAATTGTAGATTACAAGCTGAATTATGAGTCAACAGTGTGATGTGGTTGCAAATAGAGCAAATGCTATTTTAGGCTGCGTGAACAAAAGTATCACTTCCAAATCCCATGAAGTACCAGTTCCCCTGTACTCAGCACTGGTTCGACACCATCTTGAATACTATGTGCAGTTCTGGGAATCAGAGTTTAACAAAGATGCAGACAAGCTGGAAAAGGTTCAGAGGAGGGCAACAAAGGTGACCCAAGACTGGAAACACAGCCCTCTGAGGAGAAATTGTAATAAAAGGGCATGCTTAGCCTTGAGACTGAGGGGAGATGATAGCACTCTTCAAGTACTTGAAAGGCTGTCACAAAGAGGAAGGACAGGATCACTTCTCAGTCATCTTGATGGTATGATTCTATGTTCAGTGTAAATGGCTACCAGCCATATCTATGATAACAGCAAAAATGTTTGATGCTAGAGGCTACATGACAGGAAAATAAATGGCTAAGACTGCTTTTTCATTTAAGGGAAATTTTTAATTTTGTAAAAGCTACACAACCAATCTGTCAATTTTAAAAGTAGCTGCTTTTATGACAGATTACTCTCTTGTTCTCAAGCAGCCTTTTCTGACCCAGAACCATCCACATATTTTGGCTTACAATTCCTCTCAGCCCTATTCAACATGGCCTGTTCTCAGGATCTCTAGTCTGAGTTATCTGGAGGGCACCAATTTGGGAAAAAATGAAATCCAATCTGGATTGAAGAATGGTCAAATTATGACTATGGGACTTTCTCTAGCTCTGGGCTAAGCAAACTCAGACCTGGGGCCAAATCCGGCCCTGCAGAGTACCTTAGAAGGCAATATTCCCTTTGGCTCTTTCCAGCTCCTGAGTGTTTGGCAGTTTCCCAGTATTTGTGCAGCTTTCTCCCCATCTGAAAAATTGAAATGTCTCTCCTAAGACTTAGCTACTGGCAGAAAGAGCTTTAAATTCTAATATTCCAGTATTTTTGACCTCCTGCCATAGGAACATGAGCCCCAAGTTTCTATAAAAGTGAATCTGGCCCTCAAGCTGAAAAGTTCCCTCTTTTGGGGACAAGAAAATCTCTTGCCTCTAACTCAGGTGTGATCAGCTTGCATGTCAGAACATTTGGAGGGCCAGACTTCTCATCAGCCTTGGCCAGCACAGTGAAAAGTGAGGCATGAAAAGAGTTGAAAACTTTGGGAGGGCCTTGGATTGTCCATTCCTGCTCTCATCAGGAGTCTTGAAGCCAATATTTGGGCAGTGCACAGCTTCAGGTATAGATAAGCTTTATTACTAACTCAAGGGTATCTTGAAGACTGTCACATTATGTACAAAGCCCAGTATGTCCTTGGAAGCAATGTTATCTTTTCCTTGAAACTAAAGAGATTGTCATTTTTTAAAAATATACAGTATGAAAGGGCCATATACTGGGGACTGGGATTTGTTAACCATCATTGCTATCACATGAGTTGATCTGACCACTTTTTAGAAGTCATCTCTAGGGCAATTTATGCTTTGTATATTACTAAAAATGTGTGGTAGCTTTGTAAATCTCTCACAGGATTAGAGCTATATCAGGCCTTGCAGACCATCTTGTCCAACCTCCTGTTCAGTGAGATTACTACAGCATGAAAACGAGTAGGGAAACTGGCAAGTGATAACCATAAAAGCATGGATTTTATATAGTTCCTTTCCCCACTCTTTCCTCAGGTATAACTGCAAATAAAACTTTTCAAAAGGTAGAAATTGCATGCATTATAATAGGTCTTACTTGAGCAGTTCCAAAATTCATTATTGTTTCAAATCTTGCATAACAATATTATTAGTGGTGAAAGAATCTTGTAGTTTTGCTTTATTGTGACATCTACTAAATCATGACTGGTCCCTGATACTGTTCTTTCATATAAAAAGAGCAGAGATGGCAAATGTGGCTAAAACTCCAAAAACATCCAAACATAGAAGCAGATCTAGATGCTATGAATTTTAAAAGTCCACATGTTTCAAGACAGTGATCTTCTAAAAAGGTTAACTATATTCTGTTTTCTTCTTCATAAAGTACTTAAAAATGTGATTCTGAAAAGAAGAGAAGGCACTGTGACATTTTGACTACTTATCCCAATCTGTTAAATAATTTAAACGTATGGTTATTTCATCAGTCTTATGAATACCTAATTTATGATAAGACATGCTCCAAAATTCCTTGTCTGATTAACTGTTCACACTTCCAGCGCGGTAAAAAATGCTGAAGGGAAAAGAAAACAACCAATTTTCAGAAGTGAAGCAAACATTTTAAGTTCATCCTGTTCACAGATCACCTAGGTGGATGGCCTGATTCAACAATACAAAATCACCTGGGAACAGATCAATTCAAATGTAGTATTTGGTAGGAAGCTAGGCTCTAAAACAGGTTAGTTTCAGCAGTCTTCCAGAACAAACTGAATTTCAGTGAAATGGAGGCTCTGGACTGGGTCTATCGAATGCATTAGACTGGGCTGTACCCCCTGGAAGAAGCAGATAGAATCAGAAGACTGGAAGGAGACATCAAGTCCAACTCAGCTGTGTTGCTGAGCCTAGAAAGCTATTCACCGTTTCCCCACTGTTCCTGCTTCCCAGACATGTCACGGGTTCCACTGTGGGTGTTGCTACTTCCTCCTCTCTCCCGATGTTCAAGAAGATCCCACCCACCTGTCTGCTAGTAGCTGACTATTATAAGGTGGAGAACGATAAGGGAGTTAGGGCTCACCATGATGGGAGTTGACCACACCTGGAGCCAGCCTGGTTCCTGAGATGTCCAGTTAAAAGGATCAAATAGGCAGGGGTCTTTCCTACTACACTGTGCAAAGCCAATGTAATGCTGTGCTAGATGAACAACTAGTCTAGGGATAGTTTTCATCTAGTCTCTTAAATAGTCAGGTACTAAACTGGAATCCTGGGTCTATTTGTTGTCTTGTCATAAATACCTGGCTATTCTTCTTCAAGAGAACTGTTGTGCCATCATCAATTTCAAATTCTCCATAGTCTTTTAAACACCGAACCTGAAGAAATGAGCAATCAGCACACCATCAAGTAATCACAAATTTAAAATAAGTTAGCAGAAATGTGTGTTAGGAAAATATGTGTTATATATCATTTTAATTCTTTGAGTGCAAGGTAGGGAATTTCTCTTTTCTATGGCGTATCAGAAGGATTCATACCTCCCTGGTTTCACTTACTTCAATGTACAAGCTTTTGGGGGGTTTAACATCCTGTGTAAGGTCCAGTCCATCTCCTCCTCCCAGTGATCTCATATAAGTAGCCAAAGATTTTTTATATTGGTTGAACCATACCATCTGGAGATGTAAAATAGTTAGTTAATCCTGATGTTAAAGCATCATGTTCAAACTGAGAAACTAGAGTTACAATGAAAGAAACCCCTTAACTGTATGAACAAAAAAGCCTAAACCAGGAAACACTTAAATGTTAGCAAGTGAGAAAATAATTTGACAAATGTGATGTCTGGATAGATAAATATGTTTACAACTAAACCTAACTCCACCTATGTTTCATGAGCTAGGATTATAACAGTCAAGGCACACTGATACTAGCCAAATGGTACCTGCTAAGATAGAGCACAGTCTACATGATGCCCTTTCTGGGCTACTTGCCTTCTTTAAGTACTTCTGTTGGTCATGGCAAATTTGTTGCACCATAATTTGGAGAGACCTGCCCATAATATCACATGACACTTTAACAACTCTTAAAACACCTTGCATTTTTTATGTGTTGTCTGTATGACTTTAAGAAGAAAAAAGTAAATAAATTGCAATGAAATATAAAAAGGTACTTTGGGTGAAAGTTACTTATTGCTGATAACCATTATGACAAGTAAATTTACTAGTGTGTTAAAATCTCCAGGAAACACCCCGCCCCACTTTTAGTCTTTCAAGCTGGAACCAACCAGCACATTTAAAAACGTGTATTTTGAAGTCACTGCCCTAAAACAATTGGTTTTCACTAAGAAAAACAGAATTATGACTAATCTTTGTTCAGTCTTGGATAGCAGGCTAAATAAGAAAAAAAATGGTGCATACTTTGCAGAAGACAGACTAAACTCTGGCCTCTATCAACAATCTTATCAATAAATTACAATAAATACCCAGCTGGGAATGGTTCTCCAAACTCTCATTCCATTTTTTCTCCAGCTGTATCCTTTTAACTGGAAATACTAGGAACTGTGCTTGATGCATTCTTCATGCAAAGTTATGCTATGGCTTCTCTCTAAGTGCCTATGTCAAATGGTTACAAGTGATTATAAATTCATTATACATGTAACAAATTACTTGTGAACATATGCTCTGTACCTTCCTGTATTTCCAGAATATTCACTATGTATTCACTATGCACTATAAATATTAAGAAATTGGCTTACTTCATCAGCTGACATGTGAAATCGTACAACATTTGGCAAGACACTACCATATTCCCACCTAAGTGCACGAATGCGAAGTAAGCGGTCATACCTAAGAGTGAAAAAAATATTAATACAAGTATTTAGAAACAGAAGTAATGGGAAGTTCTTAATCAAAATTTTACTAGCTTTAATTCTGCACAAAGGAAGGTTCTTGTCCTGGTGTAGGGAATACTGTACAGCACAGCTGCTATGCAACAAGCAGTCCATAACTTAGAGGAGTATGATGCCACAGGCTTATGGCATCTTGTAGATTTATTATGCTTATGGTAGATTTATTCATACTAATCATACTAGTCCCAGACATAATAGTTGATGCACTATGCTAAGGTCATTCAAGACATCTAAATTATTTACTGAATTGTGGAGCAAGATCTACGTATTTGTATATTTGCTCATTTGTATATGAAGAAAAAAGATGCACCTGAGTGAGCCAAATCCAGATGCACTCCTTGTTGTTGTTATGTGCTGACAGGTTGTCTCTGAGTTATGGTAACCTGATAAATGAATGTTCTCCAAAAATATCCTGCCCATGACAGTCCTGTACAGTTCTTGTAAACAAGAGGCTATGGCATTCCTTAGTTAAAAGTTTATCTTGTTTACAGGGCATGCTTTGTGCGATTGTTGAGATAACTATATGCATCTACAACTCTTGCATCCAGTGAGTGGAAGAATAATCAGTTCTGAAAGAATCAGGAGTAATTTCACAGATGATCATTAGCGACTTACAGATATGCAACAATGCATCGTCGATTTCTCAGCAAAGAGCAATGGCGAAATTTGATCGTTGGAATCAATTCACTGTGTCCTGATTTAGCTTCATTTCTGATAACAAAAGAACAAATTATATTATCCACTTAGAAAACAAGGAATATTAAGTAGCATTGAGAGACCATTTCATAAGGTAGGTTTAAGTAAGACAGTCACTTCATGTTTTTATGATTAGGTATTGTTTTTTGATGAGAAAACAAAATAACGTTTCTGTTCCTCGCTTCTGCATTTTATTTTTGCCTTCCTTTAGATACAAAGCATATTAATTCTTTTACTAAGAGAATCTTACTTACACATCATTCTGGTTTTGTTCATACAATGCTTTCATTTCCTCAAGTACTTGTCTGATCCCATCTTCCTGCAAAATAGAAAGACACCAATTTCCAACAAGTCTTTTAATTATTATTCTAATCTTTTTAAAATTAGATTGTAAAGTAGACATCTAGAGCTTAAAGGAATATATCTATACACAACACAATCTAGAGTTGTACTATGTTCATAAACTAGCTTCAGCCAGCATACCACTTTCTGAATTAGAGACAACCAGCTAAATCCACAGTTGAATGTACATCCTGATCTATAGTCCAGTAAAAATTTCCAATTTTTCTAAATCTTCCACTATCTAGAACTGAAGTGTTTGCTTCTTCTTTTCCTTTTGTCTTACCTGCCTATTCAATGACTAATGTGTTTGCACAAGAGGGATTCAATGGGAATTGAAGGAACATAGAAATGCTTTCTTGTTAGGACCAGGCAGGATTGACAGAACAGTTTATAAGAGAACAAGATGTGGCTAATCAGCAGAGGTCAGCTCATTCTCTGCTGTCCTCTCCTCCTTTGAGGGGTACCAAAGTTTTGAAGAGAATAAAGTAGATTGTGTATCCAATTCAACATACATATGAAATAATTATGGCAGTGATATGGTAAAAAGTATAATGCAGCTGCTAAAAATAAAACCTAATACGATGTTAGGTTGCAGTAACAGAAACATGGCTCCAACTCTGCTCTATGCATTAGTTAGGATGTATTTTGAGTACTGTATCTTGCTCTGAGTGCTGCATTTTGAGGACATTGACTGCTTGCAGAGAAGTGTGATCAGGATGGTGAAACAAAGTCTTGTAAGGAATAATTACAGAGAAATTATTTAGAGGAGACATAATGATACTCTTCAAATATCAAAGGCTGTCATTGATGCTGAAGATTGTACAGAAGTGCTCTCTACTGCTAGGACTAGGGCCAATCATAAAAGCTGTAAGGAAGCATATTTGGCTAAAAAGTATTTTTTGTTGCACTTCTACACCACTCCACAGCTGAAGGTCTCTAGAATTAGAAGGAACATTCTATGAGTAAGAGCTAAGCAACACTGGAATAGATTTCTGCAGAAGATATTGGATTCTCCTGCACTAGGAGGTATTTAAGCGGAGCTGGGCAGCCACATTTTCAATGTTTATTGAGCTGAGGGTTGAACTATAATGATCTCCCAAATTCCCTTCCAACTTTGGTATTCTACCAGTCTTTCACTGTGAAGTCTGTAAAATAGGATTTATACCCCAAAATGAGGAATGCAATTGCCTCCACTAACAAAAAATAAAACACAGTAAAGCCTGTTAATCAATTTACTAAAGGAGATAAAATAGCAACAAGCACATTCTTCAAATGTCAGTTTCAGAGGCATCAAAAGAGGGGAAGAACGAAAATTCTGTACTAGCTTTATTGTTAAAAGACAAAATAGCTGTGCTTATCAATGAGAAAACAAACAAAGCCAGCAGTTGGGCAATACTTTTTTAGTTTCAATCTTTCATTGTCTTCATTAGAAGCCCCCACCCATCCACTCTCCGCCGCGTAACTCTTTGTACCAACCAGCCTGACAAAAGTGTTCTGGAGAACTCAAAAACTTACAACCCACTGCAACATTCTGGTTGGTGAGACCGAGTGCAATCCAACTGTAGATTTTACATTTATTGAATCTTCTGTAAGCTATTTCTTATGGAAATAAAGCGGGGTATAAAGGTTGCATCCAATGTTAATCTCACTTAAGTCGCATTCATTCTAGTGGGTCTGCTCTAAGAAGGAATAACATTGGCTACTAATGCAAGCATTTGAAAAGTCACATAAACACACTCAGGGCAGAAAAAGCCTTTCGAAGACTTCGGTCTGTCAGAGTGACCCTACCCGCCGACTAGCCAAGAAAGCGGCCTTCGGACAGCCGGGTCTGGGAAAGAGAAGGGGCGCCGCCGCCAAATGCTCACGTTGAAGGCAGGAAGCTGGCCGTCGCTGGCGCGATGGAGCTCCCGGATGAGCTCGGTCGCTTTCTCGCAGAACATGGCCGCGGCGGCAACAGCAAGCGGAGCCTCCGGGAGCGCCGGCGCCTCGCAACGCGCAGGGCCTTCCTCTGCCGAGGCCGCGCGGGAGCGAAAACCGCGCCTCCAGTCCTCCTGACCAATAGGAAGGCGGGCAGCGACGTGGGCGGGGAGAAGAGGGAAGCCCCGCCTCTCGCAATCGCTCTGTACGGGACCCGGGAAGGAACAAAAGTAAGGATGGCAACGCTTGTCTTGCTATTCTTTCGGGGCAGCGCCCGGAGTGGAAGGATTCCGAGAAGCGGCCCAGGGGGCTGCAGCGCTTGCTGGAATTTGGGCTGCAAATGCATGTCAGCTTCCGAGGGAGTTGAAGCGCTAGTGAAATTAAGGGAACTTGCTTCTGGGTAGGTATGCCTGAGTGCCCTGGTTATGAGGAGAGAGCGACAGGATGATTCACGCGGGAGACGGGCGCCGCTCCTTAATTCCGTAACGCCCTATCTGTTACAGCCGAGGGTGTGCATTGTTTCTATTGGTAAATATTTTCCGCTTTCCCCCAGCGGCAGTTTCAGAGGTGTTATTTATTGTATGTTTACAGCTCATTCATGTTTTACGCTGATGCTTCCGGGGTGGGAGAATCAGCTGGCAAAATACATTCGTTGCCCAAGAATTGCAATCCCATTCTTCGAGGAGTTCCTTCCGTGTACCCCATCTCATAAATTGGATAGAGCCACGGAAGGGTTAGCTCCGGGTCACATGGAGAACTGGGTTAATTTGGAAATCACTGAATAGGCTAAGAGCTGCAATTGGTAAATCTAGATGAATCTGAGAAAATGGGGCTTTCACATCATAAGAACATAAGAAAAGCCATGATGAATCAGACCAGTGGACTATCAGGGCCAGTACTCTCTTCACATAGTGTGGCAAACCAGTCTTCAGGATCCTCAAGCAGGGCAGGTGCTAGACCTCCACCTGCCCAAGCTCCTCAGCAACTCGTATAAGCAGGCATACCATCTAGTAGAAGTAGCACATAGCCAGCAAGGTTAGTAGCCATTGAAACAGTCCTCTGTGAGTATCATTTATTTATTATTCATTAGAGATTAGGTTTCATTATTTCAACTTTGTATATTGGTGTTTATACAAACGTGTTTTATATATAGGCTAATAGAGTCATGTTTTAGATCTCACTTAGCAAAAATGGTTTAAATGGGTTTAAAGAAAAACCCTTCTGGATAGATGTACTATTCATGAATATGAAGTAGGGCCCCTACATAAGCTCATACCACAACAGATTTGTGGGGACTGCAACATTCATGCTCCTTTCTACAGTGAGGAGGGGACACTGAAAACATGTTACTAGATTACAATTTTTGCCATAATAAATGTGTGAACCGTATGACTGTTGTTTTTCTGGTTCTTCTGCAATCTATGTACTATGTAGTTTTTTACTTTCTGTAGGCGTTCAAAACCTGTTTTTTTTTCAATGCCAGCCAATAAACTCACACGCACGTACGCAACTATACTATCAATCCACCTACAACTAACTTGCAGCCCACTGTTTTCAAGTATATTTTCCTATATTATTATTATTTCAGGTACTAAGTGCTTGATATTTTTTAGTAATGCTGAGATACAAGGTCATGCAGAAAGACAATGGTTCTCTCTCCACTGTCATCTAGCTACAGCAGTTCTTCAGGCTTCAGCGGAGGGAGAGAAGGGAAGTGGAGCTATTTCATCAGCTCTGATGAAAGACAATCTGCTTTTAGCTCTCTCACCTGCCATTTCAATTCTTTCTATCTTGGGTAGTCATTATAAGAGCTAAAGCTTTAAGAATTGCTGCTGGAATTGCTTTTCCTTTTTCCTTTCCATTCCTTTGCTTTTTGAATCCATCTTTTAGAATAAAGCCTTTTTAAAAGGTCTTTGAGAACATTTTCTGCCAAACAGAAGGGTAAAAATGCTTTAAATGTATAGCCAACTATTGAATATAACAACAAAACAGAAGAGCCAAAAATCTTGTGTTTAGTCTTTTGGGGCATTGAACTGTTGCTAGACCTTGGCTTAGATAGTTTAACTTTACATTCGAGTGTTCTGAGGATCAGCTGCCCACACCATGTATGCTACGTTTTGTCTCTGGCTATGGGGGAGGCATACAAATGTGATAAATGTGACCTACACTACGGAAATCACTGCAGGTCTTAAAAAAAGGAGAAAATTTATTTTATACACACACGTGTCATAGCACATGTTATTAACAATAACGTAATATTAATATACATTGCAAACTACCCAGAGAACTTGGGTGACTGGACAGCTTAACAGTACTATAAACAAATTCCCACGGAGAGACGGAAGAGCAAATTCCTGATATAAAACACAAAAACGTGTCTTCACTTGTCCTTGCTCAAAGTGGCCTCAGGTATAACCTCACCCAAAACCAAAATAGCTGGGCGTTGAGACGGAGTGAAAACAAGCGTGATAATGGGAGCGGGGCAGGATGACCTGCGGGGCTTGTTTTCCTCATAGATGGGCATCCTACAGCGCAGTGGCCATCTTTGTCGTGGGCAAATCAGCCATACAACTGCAGTCCTTTCACCTATCTCCGAGACGCAACCGCTAGGGAGGTCACATGGCCCTAGGCCGCCTCTGATTGGCGGCGCCTGGGAGGTGCCTTTCGTCCCTTAGTTGCCGAGCTGTGGGTGGTATGATGTAGGTGAGGGAGGCGTCGGTTTCGGGACGGAGGCGTCTTCCCTGGAGCGAGCGGAGCTGGCACCGCCGGCATGAGAAAGCGAAACGAGTCCGTCACGTTGGAGCATGAAGGCCTCAGCTCCTCGGCTTCGGCACCAGCTGCCGCCTCCTCCTCTCCCCAGTCCCAGCAGCTGGACAAGGGCTTCAGCTTGAGGCAGAGCCTGCGTTTGTCTGGCAGTGGCCGGGCCGCCGGTGACTCTGGCATGAAGCGAACGCTGGGCAGGTGAGAGACTCGCCGACTCGGTGAGGCTGCGTCGCTATGGCAACCTCAACCCGCTGACCGCCGTGGTAGCACTCTCCCTGTTGCCTTGCCTGGGCGCTGCGACCATCGCGAGGCTGACCTCGGCCTTGTCGTTTCCATGACAACGGAAGGCCTGCTCAGCATCGCCACCACAGCCGTCCTTCCCTTCTCCCCCTCCCTCAACCCCACCCGGGCCCTGGTAGCCCTGTGGCAGCCCTCTCTAAGAGGCCGGTCGCCAGCCACGTAGCCGGCCTAGGTGCTTCATAGTGAGGTGCCCTTGGCGATGTTCCTCTCTCTCCCTGGTCCACCGTTGCTCCCTTTTCCTCTTGTTCCTTAGCATCGCGCCAGGTGGATTGCGTTGGGGGCGAGGCCTGCCCCTGCTACGCCATGAGGCCCAGTCTGAAGGGACTGTCTAGCTTACTAATAGAGGGGCTTGGTGCCTTCCCTTGTGACTCTACCTTGGCTCCACGTTGCTCCCTCCTGTATTGCTGTATGGGTTTGCTGACTGCGACTTCAGGCCAAAAAAGGGGGTGTGTAAGATAACAGACATTTAAGATTTGCAAAATCTTTCTGTTGACCAGGGGAAGCGATGGTTAAAAACTTGTCCATGTGAACAGGTTTATGTATTGGTGAAATTTAATGGGATGTGTCTTTAGTTTATCATGGCTGTAAAATAGGAAGATATTTAAATCTAGCTTATTTATGTTTTGTCATGCAAGCTAAATGTGTGCTTATAACTAAAAAGAGGAAAAAGAGAGATTTTTCCCCTTCATCCTCCTTCCATATTGAATGTGTCTGTTAGCAAGTAAAGCATATATTCAAAAATTTCCAGAATTTCTTCCTGGTTCCATATACACATGCAAACCAGTATCTCTGCTACTTCTGTATGTTAGGTTTAGTGTATAGGCTTATAACAGCATTTCCATTGGAATGTTGAGTTCAGGAAAGGTTACATCTGGGATTGTTTAGTGTAGAAAAAGGGTGAGAAACCTGATAGAGATGTACAAAATTATGCATCCTGTGAAGAAAGTGAACAGGGAAACATTTTTCTCTCTTTGTTATAATGCTGCTACCTGTGATCATCCTATGAAGCTGATGCTGGGAAATGTGGGACATTGATTTCTATAATTGTGTTAGGGTGCTATTCTATGCATATTTAGACAGACAATAGTATCACAACATCCCGCATTCCCGAGCCAACCATTCCCATGAAACTGAGTGATGGAAGATTCAGGACAGTTGAGAAATAATATGTCATTATACAGAACATAAGTTAAAGTGTGACATTTGCTACCACAAGGTATGGTGATTGGTTTTAAAAGGGAATGAGCCAAATTCATCGATGATAAGGCTATCAAATGACTGCTACGCATAATTACTATATATTAACTCTGGTATTGGAGGTAGTATGCTCCAGTATGTCAGTTGCTGGGGAACATGTGCAGGGGGTGGATGCGGTTGCATTCATGTCCTGGTTGTGGGTTTCCTACAGGCACTTGGTTGGCCATTGTATTAACAGAATTCTGGATTAGATAGGCATTTAGTCTGATTCAGCATGGCTTCTATGTTCAGTCAGTTCATCTGCAGAAAAATTGGGATAAGTATAGGGATAAAGGTGCTGGAAGATCTTCAGGATCTTTCGAGATCTTCAACTCAGTTGCATGCATATTTATTTGGAAGTAAGGCCAACACAGTGGGCAGAGGATTTTGGTTTTGTCTCTGACTATTAAGAAATGAGACAGACATTAGAAATCTAAAAGAGAAGGAAAGTCATTAGTTTTGATCAGTGACCCTCAGTACTTTAAGTCTTAGGGTTAGGGTTAAGGAGTATTAATCATTAACCTTAGTCTCTGATACTAGTCTATATTAAATATATTTAGCACCACATAGTATGGTGGCTTAATATATTGAAACATTAAATGTTAACAATTAGCTGTTTCAGGGCAATTTTAGCAGATCTTTGGTTCAACTTTCATTTGTTTGTCTTTTCATTTGCTCATTTTTCTATTTATAATACCAAGGAAATTAATTTTTATAGATTTCTGTTATTTGACATCAAGTAATTTTTCATTTATTATTCCAAATATATGCAGCATTACTATTTTATTAAAATATATTTCACATTTGCTAAATAAAAAAGAGATTTGAATGACATCTCTTCAAACAGGCTTCCAAGTTTTTTGTTACTGGAGCATTTTGTTAGATGGGCAGTTTATATTAATAGCTGGATTTGCTCACCTCTAGCTATTCTTTTCGAATTGGGATATGGTCATTTTTTTGCTTATATAAGCTGATGCACAGGTCTTTGTATAACTAAGCTTTCTTAGTCTTAAGAATTAGGCACTAATTCTAATTTTGCTTTTTCTTCTCCCCCCTCCCCTTTTCGTTTAGTGTAGTTTTATAAAGTCATGGACTCTTATTAATCTTAGTAAGCCATTCTGGGATTTTTTTTTTGTGATTGGAGGGTGGGATATAAATAAATAAATAGATAGATTTATGTAACAGTCCATGGAAATTATCTTGGCTTTCCTCAGTATAGTAAGACAGCATTGCTATGGGTTAGTAGAGGTTCAGCCATTTACTTTGGTGCCTACAGTAAACTGCTGGAAACTTAAGGTTCTTGGGAAGGTGTCTCAGGAAACATATGATAATGGTAGGGAGAGTTGTTCTATTAAAAATTGTGGTCCCAAGCCATGTAGGGCTTTATAAGTTAAAAGTGGGCCAAGGTGATACTATGTGATCGGAATTTCTGGTCACTGATACTAATTCAGCTGCCCATTTTTGTAAGAGCTGCAGCTTCTAAACAGTCTTCAAGGGCAGCCCCAGAAAGAAAGCATTTCAGTAGATTAGTTTAATGATGACTGCTATGCCTTGGGAAGGAAACTCCAAGTTCTGATCTTTCTCCCTGGCCCCTTGCAGCTGCCACAGAAATAATCACTCTGGCTTCATCCTGATGTAAAAGCAACCTCAGAGGAGATAAAAGAATGGCTTTTTAGTGGACAGAATGGGCAAAAGAGAGGCTGGGATATAAGAAATTCTATGGCCTTCCAGTCTAGCCCTCCACAGTGCACTATTTCTAGATAGGCTTATTGATTTTTCTGGAAGAAAACTTCATTAAAAGATAATGAAATGGTGAACATTCTCTCCATTACCTCTCCTGCCCTGCTGCAGGAGCCTGGTTGGGCAGTGGATTTTCAGTGTCAGCTGTTACCCAAGAATCTTAAAGTAGAAGTTAAACTTGGGGCCTAAAAGATATAAAGCCTGCATATTACCATGAGACTTTGGCCAGAGTTGAACTTTTGGGAGTTTTTTTCCTAATGGAGTCTGACTTTGATTTTACATCAGAAATGGGCAGAAGATAAATCTCCAGAAGTTTTGGACTTCAACTTTAAGAAGCCTCAGCCAGCATGACCAATGGTCAGGAATGCTGATAACTTAAGTCTGAAACATATGGACATTTTCTGTCAACCCCTGTTTTATATCAGGTCTGATTTGGTCATGATTAGATTCATGCATGATTAGATTCATGCACCATAGATTAGTGTTCTGAGAATGAATCTCATTATATCTTGGGCTAGCACATGCTCTATTTTGCTCTTCTGGTGTGGCCACGCAGAGGAGTTTTGAAGCTTTTGCTTTTTTAATTAGCTGTAGCTTGTAATGATATCTAAAGCTGGGCACACTGTGGTTAGCTGAAACAAGCCAAGTTTGCTTATAAAGCAAAGCAGATAACATACTTACACATAACTGCAGTTTGTGGTTCATATGACATGCTAAACTGGTTAATGAAACACTGGAGTGGAAGCTTTTGCTCTCACTCACTATGCCAGAAGAAAGGTATTATAATACCCAGAGGCTTGTGGAAGCTCATTCTCATAGTGCTAAGAATCATGGTTTAATGATATATCTGAATACAGTCATTGATTAGGTTGATATAAATAGCTGATATGCTTTGTTTTTGCATCTATACCTGTTATAGAATTTACCATGTTCTTTGTCTTGTCCATGAAATAAAGAGTACAAAGTTTATTGCCCTTTTCTTCAGTAATCTATAATGAAAATATCTTTTTCTGAGCCAGCTTGTCTCATCATGGCCTACAATTTTTTTACTTCTCTGTTGCTAGAAAAACAAATGCAGCCAATGTGCATATAGGCAGGATTATTGTAGACTGTTTATATATTAAGAAGAAGTATGATTTATTTATTATATTTTCTTTATGAAAGGCACATAATTAGGAGCACTGGCATGAATATGTGAGTGTAGAGATCTTCATTTTTCCCCTCTTTTTGCAATTTACCAGGAACTGTATTGTTTCATGCTAACCCTAACAACTTGTGTGGTGGCAAGCTTACTTCGTCTTAGCAGTTCTGGAGCCAATTTTAACTCTGTCTGTGCAGCTAGGCAGAGAGAGGTTAAAAGACTGGAACTTGTTTTGTTTTCTTTTCTAGGCCACAAAGGGCTAATATAAGCACTTTTGGGCTAATAATTTTTCTGGTCTTATTTTCAAGGCTAGATTAAGCTGTCTTTCTGGACTCAAGTTCTCTGAGGTTTGTCTGATTGCTGATCTGTAAGTGGTAGTTGATGTGCTGGTGTAAGGCAGAAGTGTATACAAAGTCACAAGATAAGAAGATGATTACCTGCCCATAAAACAACAAATTGAGTGGGTGATAAATACTAGAAGAAATTTATCCATAATGTAACTGTGGCATAAGTCAAATTTAATAGTCAAGATCAAGTAGGCAGGAAATTCAGATCAGAAGGAGGTATACAACAAGATTTGCATTCAGAAACAAATAGAGATGTCTATGACTGTACCCTTATGTCCAACTGTCTACTGTGTCTCCTGGAATTGTAGATGCATTCCTGTTCCATCTTTCTATACTTTCGCAGAGCCAATAGAAAATTATGAAGGAGCAGGATGAGGGACATTGTTGGCTTAGGGCAGGTCTCAGCTTGCAGTCAAGTAATCTGTCAGCTTGTC